CGCAGAGGACTAAGAAGTCCAGATACAAGATCGCGAGACGGCTCAAGTGGTCAGAAGGCAAGCGGATCAAGTATCTACATTTTTGGACAAGGCGATCTCAAGGGAGATCAGGGCGACTCAAACAGAGCACCCCAAGAACAACTGCGATCGTGTGAGGAATTCCACGCGATCGCCCCCCACCTATCCCTAACACAATCAAGTTCAACATCGACTCAAGTCTACCGAGAAGAGAGCAACCCGCCCTACCGACGGGTACACAAGGTGAGGAAGGCTATACACACGGAATCGGGGTACCCCCTCCGTTAGTCGGTCGTCCGGGCGCCAGTGGAGAGTTGGGATCGCATCAGCAATTTTGCGAATCCCACTCCACCACAGAGTAAAGGAATTAATAGGATATGACTATATTGAATACTACTCAATTTGCGATCTTTTTGGCAAGTCTTAGTCGCGCTTTAAAGGAACTCGAGTCTGGCCACACGCCTGTTCCGGGGAAGGAATATATTTGCCCCTTCCATTGAAGACAGGCGTGTGGTTAGACTCAAGTGCGATCTGAACCCCACGTGGCACGACTTCGTCGTCCCAAAAAACTTTTTTTCTAAGCTACTCACCTGTTCCGGGAAGGGATATGGCCCCCCCCGTTGAAGACAGTTGTGTAGCAAAGTTCAAGTACAAATAGAGCTCCAGGATATATTTGGCATGTGAGCTCGTTCGAGTAGCAAAACCCCCCATACCCGCTATCGAAAGCGGCCTCCCTTACCTCACGGTCCGGGAGCAAAGTAAAGGTCAGGCGGTTGATACCCCTGAAACAAGAATGAAAAGGCCAGGGACAAGCTCCCTGAAGATTTTGGCTCTAAGCTCACTCTAGACAAGGTCGATCGAGTGGCCACCTACCTGACCACCGAGTGAAGCATATCTACTCGAGGCCCCCCAGGTCTACCTCCCTCAAGGCAGACGTCTACATCCTCACCAAGTCTTCCGAAGAGTGAAACCCGCCAGCCGACAGATACACAAGGTGAGAGAAGGTCCATACGCGGCATCGGGGTACCCCCTCCGACAGTCGGCAGTCCAACACAGTGAGTGGTTTGGGGTCTCATCATACAATTTTGAGGACACACTCCACCACATGGCTGTTTACCTCGGATGCGTTTCTGCGCTGTCCGAGCACAAACGCCTCGAAGTGCTTTAACTGAGTAAATGTTACTCAGGAGGACGATTCAAGAGGTTGGCCAGGGCTTGTTCAACATGTCCCTGCACCAAGTGCTCTGCCGCCTCCCTTCGATGCTGGGAGAGGTGAGGAAAATTACCCCAATCCACGTTGAGGGACATCCGTATCCACACGCACGCTCAGAGAGACGGGTCGTGGAAAGAACTACTAGTTCTACCAATTGTAGACGGGCACTTCGTAGAGAAGCTGCCACGTACTACGCGGGCACACTTCTAAGCAGCGCGAGGAAGCGTTATACCGTCTTAACTTCGCGTGCGGTGGTGGTGGTGTTGGTCGGCGCTAAAAAGCGCTGTATCAACCGTTTCCGGTCGCTTTGGAGCGAATTGCGCAACGAATCTTTAAGATAAGAGCTACACTTACGACACGCAGAAGCTTATTCATCTTCCCTTGCGCAGTGTGCGATGTTTAGTATATTCAATACTGACTTCTATTCAATAGAAATTAAATTGAATCTAAGATTAACTACTGATTGATTCATTATGCAAAAATTGGATACGCGTCTCTTTTGAAGCGTATCCTTACGTGCGAGCTTCAAAAATATATAAGCTCGCTGATAACGTCTGTTTGAAGCGTCAGCATGACGCACAATCCCAACTGGCGTCATCCCCGTTGAATGTGAATCCGTCCATGGATATCACATTCACGAGGGTGGGTCACATTGATGTGCCGCACCCAAATGGCAGGCCTAAGGTACCTCGTACCCATTTAGGCCTGCCTGTTAAGTATTCGATACTTAAAGAACCGTGTAACTTTTAGCCCATTACACATAATCCACTTCATCACCCTCGGGAGCGTCATATTGCTCTGCGACGAGCACCAAGTAGTCCGATAACTGCTTCTCGTATCGAAGAACGAGACAAGATTACAAGTTTGCGCCAGCTTCAGCAGATATTTTGCAAATAATGCACATACGAACAATTATCTTGGTTTGGTTGGAGCTACCCTTGGTACTTATTCTTGTCATGCCATGCGTATAGTATACGCCTTTGTGGTATATTTTTATTTCGTGTTATTTTTTATTTTTTCCTACTGTTGTATATTTTAGCAAAATGTGTTTCGCTATTTAAACGGATTTAATTGTATCGGCTTCGTACATGTCCATCATAAAGAAAACTCTTTAATTACGTTCTAAAAAACTGTGAACATGATGACAAAAGAGTTATGAGTGTTTTATTTCGATAAAGCTACTTTTCTTCAACATCGGCATTCATTCAAAAACTTCTTCAATGCTTTAGCCTCATTATCATGCTTAAAATGCCCAAGTAAACGACCGCGCCAATACATAATTGGCAAACATGCGTGAGTCGCGGGAGCCAGAATCATATCATCTCGGAGTTCTCTTGAAGTCTCACTTGTATCGACTTCATTATATTTTCAACCTTCTCGTCACTTGAGCTCCTCTAGTCCAGTCTGCAAAGCTTCTCTCAGCATCTCTAGTGTTTCTACTTTCACGGCCGCCTGTTGGCTCTCCTCGTGACACTTCTCAAGCTGCATCTTGGTAAACAACTCGGGGTTTGAGTCTTCTTCAGCATCCATCATCCTACAGAGTAACAATTGTCAAAACACTACAACAGATAACTTTACACCACTATTCCTTCAATTACACGTACTGCAGCACTTGCAGCGGAATGTCTGCGTGGTACTCAGCCGCTGCCTTGTCCATCTGTTGCAGCAGTTCCACATATCGCGTGACGTTGTCACTGAGAAAACCCAGTTGGTCCTGTCGAAAGTCCGCCACGCCATCCGTGAGCTGATCGAGTGTCCTCACGACGTCCACCAGCGTCTCCAGCAATTTAGGTGGCAAATGCTTCACCACGTCGTCTCGAGGCAGCGCTGGGCCTGGTCCAAAGGCGGCAACGGCTTTGTTTATAGGCACAAGTTGCGGCTTGACGACTCGACTGCTGTTGTTGGAGCGCCCTCCTCCAGTGGATGGCGTCTTGGGCCGAGGCGGAGATCCGCTGGGCGTGAACGGAGCCACGTATGGACTGGCCCCCACTTGGGCTCGGCGCTCCTGAGGTTCGGACGGAACGGACGAGGACGCTGATGGCGTGGGCTGTAAGATGGAACTGGACGTACAAGCACCCGATCGCTCAGAGCGACCAGAAGGCGGCAGGTCAGCCAAGAACTGATCCGGCTCGACGTCCACGTCGTCGTCCTCGAGTGGCTTTTGCGGCATTATTATTGTAATGCGGTTTTTACACACGATAAAAACGTTTAAAAAAATTAATTGAAATAATCAATTAATAAAACAATTATAAATTATGCAGTCCATTTAAAATACGTTTAATCTTAATATAATGCCAAGTAACTGTAGTTAGGTGGCTGTAAGAGACCGCAAGGGTAGCCGTCTTGCACGCACGTGACTGGTTCGGTCAAGTACTACATTCAGAGCCTCAACAAGTTGTTGGTTGTCGGATTTGCGACTGACTAAAAACGTGAAAAACTGCAAAACGAGGATTCGACTGCTAAGTTACAGTTTTAATTATCTACACGCAAAGCTGGATGTGTACTCAGCCAGAAGGACAATGATTCGGACTACTAGTGCTATTAACCTGTATATAGACGATTACACACTACAGGTATTGATATGTTAATGCTACAAATTATATTGAGTTTAAAACAGATCCCAGCTCTGATCGAGTCTGTGGTGCGATGATGACTTTGAGTCCGTAGAATGGCTTGAATAATAGAAATTCACACATGAAAACCAGTCTGGCGTTGCTCGAACGAATCGCATGTGGCAGGGTGAAATATATTCGCTGGTAAGCGCTTACCGCAGTCCTGGGCTCAAAGCTCGATTTGTGTCGTCATACAAAATGACAAGTTAGTAGTTATCGCATGCCTGCGCACAATTGATCGTCAGTCGCTTTAACGCTCCAGCAGACCCAACAAATCACTCCAGAACATTATAGAAGACCTACTTATTTTTGCTGCCGTCAACGCTTGTTTGTCTTGAGTTGATTTGAAAGAAAAGTGCCGTCTAGTATTGCGACCTCGTCGAATCTTCAGTCCGAGTTGGACATCACGCTATGTCTATGAGCGTCTCTTTTCTGAAAGAACACGATTTTTGTTGTAGCGTCTTTTAATGCTTCACTGATTCACAACTTCTATGACTCTCGTCTTGTACATGTTCCAGCCTCGCGTGCTACCACTACGCGTAGTTCCAACCAATTCATATTTTTCCTTGTAAGGTCATTGGATCACGTGTTTTTCTTGTATACATGTCAGCTTGTGATGAAAACTTCCTGCAGCACGAGGAACTTCCGTCGGACCTCACCCATTGCGAAAAAAAGGAAATAAAACGTCGATAACATAATGCTTTTATTCCCTGTATGAACATAATATGACGATCGTGTCATTGAACGTGACAGACAGACCATAATGTCCGAACCTGTCGTCGTCAAGCAGCAGCAATATCAGCAACAACAAAAGTAGGTACACAGTCCTCTCCTGTCTCCTGCTTTAAACGACCATGTGTCAGGATATGATATTTGGACAGTGATATAAAAAACGGAGCTGCGCGGGTGTGTTCGTGTGGCTTGATCGTCTACTTCCTTAAAATTGTCGCACTGGCAGCTTATGGGTTGTGACTGCCAATTTCGTCACTGGTAGCAAACAGTACGTGACCTCCCTTCATTACGATACATGGCACTGAGATGCAAAACGGAGAGCAGACAAGTCAATTACCATCGCATGTCCGTAGAAACATATCTAAAGAAATATTTTAAAATTTCAAATGAAAACACTTCTAGTTTCATGCGTTTGTTTTCAGCGCAGAAATGGTAAAAGCATGAAGCTGGTAAGCTCACTTTATCATTGATTGAAGCAGCCGGACGATTTATTATACACGTAAAAAAAGGGGCTGATGTAAACAGCTGCATCGAAAAGAGCCATTTCTGACACCATACTCCCTACCCCTAAACCGTCACTCCTTCTGTTTATGTACGTAGTACTAAACGTAAGTACAAGAAACAAGTGAATAGAGTTCAGCCACATATGTACGACCAACACGAGAGTTCGTGGCTCCAGCTAGCCCAACCACTTGCAGTATTTTGTATCACTTAATAGGTCAAGCACGTTTCTCTATTTGCAGACGCTGCTCTCGACGCAGCATGGACAATTGGCGTGACCATCATGCGCGACCTTCGATGCTTGAGCGAGTATCGTCTACCCACCATTCACGCTTCCCTTTAGCCGCCGGATACTTCCCGACCGTTACGTGTTCAGTCAATCAGCATGCATTTTTCAAAGAACAGGCCAACCGATTAACCTCCGAGGCCACACAGAAGGCCAAGTGGGCTATGAGCTACGAGGACGGCATCAACGGGTGGAAACTTTCTAATTCGCAGCGGCACTTCCGAGTGACCGGAATCCGTACATACAGTAGACGATGCGACGTTCGCGACTGCAACGGCCACCGACAGCTCGAGTTCCGCTGTATGGGCAAAGTGCAGCTGCCAATTGATCACTGTCTTAACGCGCTCTACTCGGACAATACAACCGACTTCCGTAGCAACTCGACATTTCTCATTGAAGACGCCTTGGATGCCGTTGTGCTGAATGCACTAGAGACGAAGACGGAGGAGCAGCCGCACCATTATCTTGGTCTCAACTGGATGGCAATTCGCTCACCAGGTCTCTTCTCCAAGAACCGAGATTTCTGCTATCTCCGAAGTATGGGTACAACAGTGGATAGCAGCAATACAAAGGTTGGGTTCTTAGTCATCCAGTCCGTCAACTTGACGGAGTGCGCGTCACTGGAAAATGCGCTTGGCCTCAATCGTGTTAAAATCTCGGCCGTGCTGTTATTTAAGGAGGACGCAGAGTCTCGCTCTACTCATGTCTTGTGGCAGGGATCGATAGGATCAAGTGGACATTCGCCTGGCAAACTGGTGAACTTTGTACACGAGACTTTTACGTCTGTTGTCTCCAATCTAAAGAAGGTTCAGGAAGCCAAGTACATGGCACAGCAAGTGGAAGGCAATAAGATTCAGCGGATGACCGCCGGGTACGCGAATAGTTACTGCGGTTTGACATTGGTCAAGAAGATGCTGACAAGTTTTTTTTTTGCTAACAGTGAACGTAAGCAGTGCCACGTATGCAACAAGAAATTTTCTCTTGTACGGACTCGCTTTCAGTGTAGCGCCTGCGGTGAGAATATGTGCAAGGATTGCGAAGTATCCAGTCGAGCGAAAGTGTTTAATAGCGAAAGCTTCGACGTACCGGCGCCAACCTGTAGTCGTCCGGAAATGGTGATGTTTTGTAGGAAATGCGTAACGAATGCTCGTCGCGACATGAATAATGAGTCCGAGGGAGAGAATTTACGAGCAAACCCGGCGTTCCTCTTCAACAACAATAACCTATACCCGGCTTCAGCAGACGAGAGAGATCGCCGCCTTTTGAAGACTGGTAAAGCGTCTAACCAGAGCAGCACTACAAGTACTAGCTCGTTGCAGAAGGTAGTGACCAGCCCGAGCACAGTACTTGCCGTCCACAACGACAAGCGCTCCGGCCGTACACCTCTCTTCGTTGGGGCAGCGATTCACATGTCCAGAGCTGGTGAAGTGCCTATCAGTCCGCTGTGGGTCCGAACAGAGCGTGAAAAGCGTCGTTCTCGATCGGGAACAGACCCCATGGAATTTTACGACGGCTGTGACAACGACGAGTACGGCGTTCCATTGGACACGGACGAGTACGACCCGCAGGAGCCAATGAGGGAGAGCTGCAACAGTGTTAGCAGCTACAAGTATTCGTCACCAGACCGACGCGGGTCTCACGAATTTCGCGATAATGACATGGCCAGCAGATTACTGGAGATTTCCCAGCGAGCTCAGGAAGCCTTGGACGTGACAAAGCGCAATTCATGTATGATGAGCAGCGACACGAGCAGTGCACCTCGAGTATCGGATTTGTCTGCATTCAAGGAGCTAGACAAGTCCATTGCCGAGCAAGCGGATCTACTGAACGTCATTGGATTTGTCAGTACTGGTCGTATGTATATGGAGAATTATGGTCCTGAACAGGGAGGTGTACGTGTCAGTGAGTCGTCCAATGCCATGACGACGACCAAGTGATTAATTACTTAATAACAACGAGTAAAGTATCCTTTACCCTTTTGAAACATCCAAAAAACTATATTTTATCCATTAAACTACCCAAAATATCCAACTGATGGTTTAGTACTCAAAAAAAACTATTTAAAGTTTGGCTTTAATCATGGCTGGACAGGGTGACAATCTGTCAACTTCACTGACGCTGGGGCTGAGCCTGTTGGCTGCTACCATGACAATCATTACCGCAGGAAGCGTGGGCCTCGTAGGTTTCATGTTGGGTCGCCAGCTACCGCAGCAAGAAAAGATCAAGAGCGGGCTCAGCAGGAAACAGCAGTCACACGAGTCTACGTCAATGGAGCAGAAGCGCCGCTTGCGTATTCCCAGTGGCACAGCGAGTGAAGACGTAAAGATTTCGGATAGAAATGCTATTGTGGACGTGCGTATATCCGGTATCCGGCCGCTTATTCCACCGGCCATTTTGCTCGAGGAGATTCCACTCACTCCAAAGATTGTACAAACGGTAAAAGCGAGCGCTAATTACTTGATCAATTCGTACTGACGCAATGTACTGACTTAGTGATTGATTGACTGGTTACTAAAAATCCTGGTATTGTGTATGTAGATTACACGAAGCCGTCAGGATTTGGCCAACATTTTACGTCGTCTGGACGGTCGTCTTGTGGTAGTAGTGGGGCCTTGCTCCATCCACGACACGGATGCTGCTATGGACTATGGTGAGTTGAGCTTGGACAAAGTCTATAGAGGTAGATCAACAAGTGCTGATGGACTTGCGTATCGTATTGTCAATTGCAGCTAAGCGTCTGCTGGAACTAAAGAAGGAGCTGAGTAAGGATTTGCTCATCATTATGCGCGTATACTTTGAAAAGCCCCGCACGACTGTTGGCTGGAAGGGTCTGATCAATGACCCGGATCTGGATGGATCATTTAACATTAACAAGGGGCTGCATGTGGCGCGTGAGCTGCTGGCTGCTATTAACGAGCTCGGGCTACCGGTGGGTTGGTCAGTTTACTTGCACCATTAGCTACGACCGTTTCATACTGATTTTATTTTGGATGATTTTTTATAAGGCTGGCTGCGAATTTCTGGACACCATGTCACCGCAGTTCATCTCAGACCTGGTCAGCTGGGGTGCCATTGGTGCCCGCACCACCGAGTGCCAGCTGCACCGTGAGCTCTGCTCGGGTCTTTCCATGCCCATCGGCTTCAAGAACGGCACGGGCGGCGATCTACAATTGGCTGTAGACGCCGTCGTGGCGGCTAAGCACGCGCATTGCTTCCTCAGCGTGAGCTCGCAGGGTCTTGCCGCTATCGTCAACACCTCAGGCAACGACATGTGCCACTTGATCCTCCGTGGCGGTAAATCGGGCCCCAACTTCGAGAAGGAGCACGTTGATGATGCCTCTGCTCGCATGCTCAAAGCAAACCTGGTAGATAATGTCATGGTAGACTGCTCACACGGCAACTCGCAGAAAAAGCACAAGAACCAGGTCACAGTGGCGGCCAATATCGCCGACCAACTGCGCGCCGGTGACGACCGCATCGTCGGCGTGATGCTCGAGTCTTATATTGAGGAAGGGAATCAGCCTCTGAGTCCGGGCAAGCCTCTCGTGTACGGCAAGAGTGTGACGGACGCCTGCATGGGGTGGGAGATGACCGTTGAAGTGCTGCGCAACCTGGCTGCTGCTGTGCGTGAGCGCCGGGCTAAGAATCACCAGTAAGAGGCTAAATGTCAAACAGAGGCATGGTCGCTTTCTGAGATAGATTCTGTGCAGATAATGCTTGATTTTGCTGATCTTTAGCATGATATAGGAGTCAGATTGCGAACAGCTCGTCCTAATACAGCAGATTTGATCTTGCATTACTGTTAGCTAGTATCAAATTCTTGTGAACTCCAGCCCCTCCTTGCGACTTGGTACCAGCTTGCGTCGTCAAAACTAGTTCCCTCTTCTCACTGCAACACGTCGTGGTGCCTTTGCTACGTCAGACCAGCTATGCTGATGTCTTAGTATAGTGAGAATTATTGCGCCGATATGCTGACACGATTGCGTACCCGTCAGGGTCGCTACAAGAAGAAGCTCTGTGGATAGAGTGTGAAATGCTTATATAGTTTTCGTCCATTTATATCTCAAGGTTGTGATGTAGTGCCATTCTGGTGTTTGTGGCGCAAGCCAAGGGGATACCGGGCAAGGTAGGTAAATTATCTCTGATCGTCAAGCTGCTGCTCGTATCGTGCTGCAAGACTGGAATAGATGTCCTTCGAAATGGTAGAAGAGCTCGTGACGCAATTTGTACTGTCGTTTAAACAGAATCTCATTGTTTGTAGATGCAGATTTGAATCCGATTAGCATCTTGCTGCTGGATTTGTGCAGTGCGAGCCGCTTACCTCCTTCTGTAGTCCCTATCATGGTGGGCAATTTCGCTTCGCTTTTGTCCTTCTCAACCGGCTACACGGTCCGCAAAATGCCTGCCTAGAGCATGATAAGACCATTGACTACATCGACGCCGATGCTGAGCAGATCAGCAGCAACACCCGCAATTGTACCTACGGCCGGGAACATCAGGTGACGGTGTTTATTCCTGTGAATGTCACCTTTCACAAATGTAATTTTCTTACAGCTCCACGTCACAACAGGCAAATTCCAGGCTGACCACATGGCGTGGTTTGCTTCTGGTGAAGGCTTCCATGCGTTTTGATGATTTAAAAGCGAGTCATTCATGGGAGAACAATCGGATTGTTAACTGTGGGAATGGGCCAACGGCCTTTGGTCTGCACAAAGTACATATTGAGAATGGGGTGCATATCGGCTTCTATGACATTTTGCGACAATGACAAAGTCCTGCGAGTTGTAGGTATAATTGGCAGGAGGCCTGTATTATTCTAGTTCATTCGTAGTCGATCTATGCTTCAGTCTCTCCAGCGGGATGTTCTTCGATTGCTGCCAGCACTTTACGTTCAAATCCGCGGCTGCGGACACTGATGAGCTTGTGCGACTTATCGGATCTGACTATCGATGAAAATCGAGATGCTGCAATCTTCTCGTGAGTTTCTTCGGATAGTGGAGGCGTCTCGTCAAACATGTTGTTCACTTTATCTTCGTGAACAGAAAACATTGATTCGTAGGAGAGCTCTACCTCTTCTTCATCACTGGCCAGTTGATCATCATCTTGCTGTCGGCTCCCATCACTAGACTTGACTGTATACCATGCCTCATCTTCCTGGTACGAAGACGTGCAGCTGGTGCTGGAGCTAGGCGCAATACCACGCGCAGATTTTGGGACGCCAAAGCCGTCTGCACTCAGTTCGTAGTGGTCAACGCGAGATTGAATGTCTGTAACTGGCTCACGTTCATCCAAAAGCCATGTCATACTAACCTGCCGCTCCTCGCGCTCTATCTCAACTCGACTGGACATTTCCTCTGCCCGATTCATGTCCTGATCGTCGTAGTTTATACGCGAGCTAATCGCCAAAAGACTGCTGCGTCTACTATCATCATCAAATTCGCTTGCCACGGTCTCTGCGATTGATCCGCGGTCTCGATTTCCTGTGACTTGGTTAGGCCACTGCAGTTGTTGGCACGTGAAGTCTTTGCCGTCGTTGCTTGGTGGTAGTTCTGCAGAGTTTTTGTAAACAGGTTCCGGGTCGGATACAAACTCCGGGAGATAACTTGTCAGCAGTACCAGGACGTGAGCTTGGCGATGGCGACGAGCTATAGCCACAGCATCGTCTAAAGTTTTTCTAGTAGCTACTTCTCGTTCCAACAAAACTCTGACGCACTCGTAGTGCCCATTGATGGTCGCCACTGATAGTAGCGAGTGTCCTTCGAACGTGTAGTAGGCCCAGTCATGCGGGTAGCAATCCAGCAGGTAACGAAGAAAATGGTGACGACCGTGCTCTGCAGCCACGAAAATGGGCATCGGCAGCTTGCAATTGGGACCCTCCATCGCGGTGGCAGACATAGGCTGAGTAGACGCTAAAGATGTAGAAGAACCGGTCGACGATCTGGAAGACACCAAGTTTAGTGGTACTCCACCTTGTTGTAGTCGCTGAAAAGCTTTCCAATGGTCGTGACGGATCACAAGGCAGTACATCGCGCGACTAAAGTGTGCGATCACTTGAGGTTCTTCGAACAATGCGTCCAGTAGAAGGCCGAGCGTTTCGACGCCACCATGGAGACAGGCCAGCAATAGTGCATTGAGTGGACACGGATCCCAGTCATGCCGCCGGAATCTTTGACTACTGTGCGACTCGTCGTTCATCCAAATTGGCGACGCACCTGCTTCCAACAGTGCCACCACTTGTCGAACTTTGCGCAAGGTCACGGCTTTTCGTAGTCGGAGTTGCAGTCCACGGTCTCCTTTGTCGTCTTTATGAAAGAGTTTGCGCATAAGTTTCGACACCTTTGCCATGATCGATGAGGAGAAGTACAATGCAAGTGTGAGATATGGAAATGAGAAATGATCGTCACATGCTGCTATCAAAGTCCTCTCGTTGATTGAAAACCCTTGCGATGATCCGATCATCTGGTGTGTGAAGAACAGTGCTCACCTGTAGTTACTTGACTGTGCAACAGATGCCCCATTCCATTACATGCTCTTCTCCTAAAGCATATTCAAGTGACTCTGTGCTCTCTTCCGTTTGAATTAGTCATATGAATTCGAGACGAGCTCGTAACCAAGTGGCAGAGACTTTACTATTCCTTTAGTGCAAGTGCATTAGCAGCAGATATTGTGCAACATTTCTACAAAACATGCGTTCATGTCGTGTCCATGACTATTTCCAGGTACTAATAACAATACTAACGCTACGTTAATCAAGGAAGCATAATGGTCTCATACAGATAGAGACCATCATGGGATAGTGACAATACAATAATTGTATTGTGCCATTTCCAACAATAATTGTATACAATAATTACGTCATGCTGCTGCCAAGAATTCGAGCTTTTGCTGGTGCACAAGCACCGCTTTGCCCTCACTAACGTCATTCTGTGTATGCAACGCATTACTGATGATCTCATACTCGTCCAGCGTGCTCTTAGTAGCGTTTCTGCTTCATCTACAACGTCTTTAGAGCGTGTTTTCCGATGTCTCGAGGGTCTCGTGACGCTCGTTCCGTTATTTCTCGGCGAGCGCGAACTGGCGACTTTTGTAGCTGCATTACAAGAGTTTAATCGCGTTGCACAAGCTCTTGAGTCACACCCAAAGCTTCAAGAGGCTCTTCTGACACTTGGAAACAATACAAACGATCTAATGGATGCAGCAACTCGAGACGCTGCGACTTGCGCTCAATTAACAAGAAAACGAGACGTCAGTACAAGTATTATCAGTATACTGATTTAAGTTAGTCGATCTGACACTGGTTGTTGGGAGATATTGTAGCATTTGGCTACATTATTGGCGCAAACAGAGCAAGTACTACAGAATTCTCACTTGAGACGATCTCAGCAGTATCAAGACACGATTCAACACTTTATGGCAGAGTTTCAATCGACATTAAAAGGTAAAAATGGACTCGAGAAGCTGAAAATAGTGATACGTTGATGGGATGAGACCAATGTCTTTGTTTTCTGTGGGTGGGTGGGGGGGTGAATGTAGACGAGCACTTGCAGCTTGCAAAGCAACTTCGCTTCGATATTGAGACCATTGAGACGTCCATGTTGAAGATGTTACGACCACACTTTGAAATATGCAAGACCATTACGATTGCGTACGACTGGAATTGAGATATTGTGCATTTTGTTGTGGCTCTCACGAGTTGTGTGTTTGTGTGTGTGCTTTAACAGTAATGCTCGAGTGCAGTGGACCGAATCTACGTTTTCTAAGATAGAGTGCAAAGACATCAGCGTCTTTGTGCAAACTGCTGCAAAGCTGGAAACCGGAGACACAACTTTTCACAGGTATACGAGCTAGATTTTGTGTCTACACGTCATTACATTCTGATACATTTGCAAGTAAAGTGTGCTTCAGGATACGACTCAATTTCTAGCTCAAGTTTCGTTGTTCGAGCAAGCGGCTAGTAAGGTACGTAGGGATACAATAACTCACCATGCAGGAAGAAGGTAGTAAATTGTTGCTGTATTACAGGATGCCTTTTTGGTTTGTTCCAGCGCCTTAAAGTTGCAATTTCGCGAACGGCTTGACCAAGAACTCTTTCTCGCCTACATGAAGGACTGGAGCGAAAAACACAAGACATTGCAGGTTTGCTATGCAAAATTGGAACGAAGCTCTTTCTCTTTTGATATTGAGCTTTTCTTCTCGTTTTTTGTTGTAGCTGACAGAGTCAAGTAATGAATTCAAAGCTGCTACTGATCTTTTGCAGAATTTAAAATTAGCCATTGGACGAGCGCACGAACTTGCTCAGATCAGGTAACTTCTTGTATTATTACTGCTAAGTGGCTGCAAACTTACTATGGTGATTGAAAATGCAACTGAGCTAGCCGAGAAAAAGTAGCACTGGATATCCCAGCACGCGAATCACTGGCTAAAGAGGTAAGATACATGACTCAGCGCTCTTTTGTCAAACTTTGAGGTATTAAGGAATATGGACACAGGTGGCGCGTATTTTCCACGAAGAAGGTGGACACATAACTCACTTTGACCTGCCTGAGTGCGCGTGAGTATGTGTTTCCAAAACCGGGCCGATGTTATACGATCAAGCATGTTCTACTTTGTACGATTTTTCATCACCCTCTGCCACTGAAACGATGGACTCGACAGCTTGCGAAGCGAAATGATACAGGAAAATGTGCCATTCATGAAAATGATAATTGAAAAGCGTGCAAATAGTAAGTCTTCAATGGTCTCGTTTTGCACCTCGGTACTTCCAACCCATGCCATGTACGATAAATCGCGCTGACTGCTAACCTCACAGGGGACAGAGGCACATCCGCCGACATCGAATAATTTGTGGCGAAAGCGTTGAATGTGTCTGGAGAGGAACATCATAGGCATCATTCTTGTCGTGATGACTCTAACATTATGGTTGTTTGAAATCGATTGAACCACGATGATCAGCCACAAAAGTGCAATCGGCCAAGATTCTCAGAAGGTTGTGCACGTCCTTCCGCTTAAGGTGCACTGCGTATCTGTGTTTGCGTATCATCATCCGACTGATAGGTGCCAATCCATATTAGCGATTGTCCAGGCCTGACGAAGCTGCAAGAAATCTATCTCGCTCTTGTCGAAGCTTTGTGACGATTATTGGTGTCTTGGTGAGCCACTGACACGCTACCACCTCGACGTCAATGTGCTGGAATACCATATCAACGCAGTCTATCGTTTGACCATCTTGCGAAAAGACAAACGCGATTGATTGATCACACAGACAACCAGGCCAACACGATTTGGACGACGCTAGAAGAGCTGTCTTGATAAATGCTAGTTGCAGCTTGTCGTCTTATCATAATGTTGACCCCACACCTGGTCCTGCTACGCACTTTTTGGTCATGAGGAGATGACTGCTTGATGGCGAAGCGATAAATGTTAACTCCACTCCAAAAAGTTGGCAGGTCTTTTATGTGTTGCTACGCTCCGAAGTTGACGTGCCGCCAGTGAGGCACCCATAAGACACGACTGTACTATGAAAAGCTCACAGTGTCAACTCTTAGACCGAACATTAGCAACGCCATATAACAAATGACAATCTGCATAAAGGGGCTTTCACGTCACATTGGTCTGATGGAGATGGATGGTCTTAATGCCAAGGTGAGCTTCATTAAAGTGTAGTGACGTCTGGCATACACGATCTGACGCTTGTGACTTACGGAGACGAGGCTTGGTACTTGAGGAGATAACGCCATGAGGATTGAGCTAAAAATTTCTAGCCTTTGTGCTCGCTTCATCAGAAGTCCATCGGTCCTTGACGAAACAAGAATAAAGTTGATCCATCTAGTGACGACGCATTCTTCAGATCCGTCACTTCATGTTGGTGCAGATCATTCAGTGTCACAAATGCCGTTAAAACCAAGGTGCACACCCTTCTTCAGATCTCTCAATGTGGACTTCAAGCCAATGACCCCCATGGCGAGAGCCGACAAACCGATTGTCGCTGCCAAAAGATAGACCATGATTGACGCACGTTTGTACTTTTTGACCAAGCACGCCACCACTTTTTGGCCACAAAAGCCACCGATGCAGCCTATGAGTGCAAACCAAGCCATGTAGTCGTACTGAAGCTCGCCCGGGAACTGACCGTTGATCGCGAACTGCAGCGTCGTCGATGACGATGTGAACAGAATCATGAAGTTGGCGGTTGCCGATTGCACAGGGGGCAAGATACCCATCTCGAGCATGACAGGGCCTTTCACCATGCCACCTCCGATACCCAATAGACCAGCGGCCACTCCTGCCAAGGTACACAAGGTCGGGAAGATAAGTACGCGGCGCTTGGTCCAGTGAATGTCACCCTCGGTGAACGGATAGCCGCTGAGAACTTTCAGGCGGTTCAGTAGACGCAATTGGTATCCTACCCAAAGCGTGATCGCGACCAAAATCAACAGCGGTAGGAGAGTGACCATCCAATAGTCCACAGAGTTGCAGGTGAGTCCGATGACACTGGGGGCTCCATGTCCTCCGCGCAGCATTGACTGTGCCAGCACCACTAGCCAAGACAGTACCAGCGGAACAATATACTTGAGCGGGAACAATCGCATCTCTCGCTGCTCGATAGCGTTGCGCCTCACAAGTAAATGGTCATCGTCCGAACTAAAGGTGCCAAAATCATGCTTCTTCGGTCCACTCAGCAGAGCATCAGAGCTCGATGGCTGGTGTTCACGGAGCGGCGGCAGGGACTTCCAGTCGTCTTCGTCTTCGAGCTTAATTTGGCGTAACTTTTTGTTGTGGCGAGTCTTCGCAAGCCATCGCTGCGCAGCAATCTCGGCATTGAAGCGCTATTGACATTTGTGTGAAATTAACAAGCGCACATAAAAGGTTTTCAGCCAGGAGCCAGCAAATATATACGTACACGATATATTGACCACTGGCGACCGCGACCTCCACCATTAGGACCACCTTTAAGCACCGACTTGACGACTGCGAGCTGGTGGTTGGACTCGTTTTCGCGAATCTGAACGACACATTATTAGCTTCACTCATCGCCACAAAACAAACAAACCAACCCTCATACGTCACCAACCTTACCTTGTTTCCCTTAAGAAAGGTCTTGTAAGTGATATACGAGAGCAGCGAGACAAGAAGCACCAAGATAAGCCAGTCCGGGAACATGTGATTCATTATCACGCCAAAGATGGTGCCAATAAGCGTCGTAGGCTCCATAATTCCGGCAACTTGATAGCTAATAAGCGGCAACTTGGCGTTTACTGGGCATGTAGCAAGAAAACAAGTCATCTTGTCAATCACCTCATCCTACACCGCTTGGCTCTTTAAACTACCAGCTTACTCGGGTGTTTCCGGTTAAAATTGAAAAAGTAAGCGGACATTGCATTGCCAAAGATAGTGGCTTTCGACAATGGGATGGCGTGCTTAGGACTCAGTCCGTACAAGATGTACATGGGCACCAAAAGTCCTCCACCTCCAACGCCACAGCCAGAGCCGAGCGCAGTGCTCACAAAGGCGATAACTGTTGCCACCAAATCCTTCCATGTAAAAGGGTCAAATAAGTTCTTTTCAGTACAATAGGCAACGGCGACCGTCTCTCCAACAGAGTTGAGAGCGTGCTGCGTCTGTATTTTGCCAGTCACTTGATCCAGAATCTCCACGACTTGACAACGCTTGGAACCGTCGATACTACAGTCGTCTGCATGAGGACGACAATACTCACACTTGCTGCAATGACACAAGGCAGAAGTGACATTCAATACAATGAGATATTCATGGCTACTTTGTTACATGGCTACTTTGTTACATGGCTACATTGTTACATGGCTACATTGTTACATGGCTACATTGTGCAATAGAGCACACTTACTTTGAGATGCAGGCCAATGCAGGCAAATAGCCACAGTCGATGCCTTTAGAACACTGAACTCCAATTGTATTGTGAAAGATTGCATCCTCTGCGATGGAGACAGAGACCAACACGCAAGCCACAGTCAACCACAAAGAGCCATGCATTCTACAGGTGGAGGAGATTAACTCTGTACACAAGCTATTGATTTGGTCACATAAACCACCAAATGTACAACATGGCTACACTTATGATGAATGGACTTTATGGCTACATCTAAAAGCTCTGCGTGATACCATCAATTAGCTAAGTTCACTCTCATAGCCTGCAATAATAGTGATATCTGCCCATATATACCTTCCAACACAAGTCTTGCAACTCGTCGCTTTGTCATGGCCTTTCTTGACTCAACTTTCGTGTGTACTCACTCTTCTTACACATCTAGCGTAAATTTCACCTTTCGATCGGGCTCTGCATGCGCATTGTGCAGACCCTTTCCGCCACTAGTTGTCTTTCGTGTTGTCAAAGTCTCGTACACTGAAGACGATAGAGGCTCTAGAAACTCGTCTTCACTGTCGCTCATGCCATAGATTTCATCTAATCGCTTTGACGTAACCTCATTAATTTTGTGCATCAAAGGGTGAATGGACAATTCCTGAACAAGAATAGCTCCGTGATTGGCAGCAACTTCAACCTCAGCGTTTGCAATTGGTAACCTTGATCCGCCATTCTCAGGCGTTCTTAATCCTGTCACTGCCTCGCTGGCGATTAAGGGATTTGATTGAAGTGAAGGCGCGATCGTCTCTGTAGGACCATAGTATCGAGAAGAAGGAACTGGAATTCGATCCATGACCAATCGTCCACCACGGCCAATACGGCCGCGGCATCTGTACTTGGGTGGTTGCTGGAAGATCGCTGCCATCAACAGAGGTGGTGACAGAGGATAGGACGGGTATACTGGGCCGCTAAGTTTCCGCGGAGATCCATCCGTGTCTGTTGAGTCCTCCATCACAAAGTTTGCCGATGTGTCATACTCCATAAAGGTTGGTGCAATTTGCGGTCCTTCGACCACAGTAGCTGCAGTCTTACCATCACCTCCATTCTTTAAATCTCCTGATACAAACACATCGCCATCGAAACTGTCACTCTCGCCATCACGATGTTTTCTCTTTTTCTTTTTCTTCTTCTTGTGACGCTCACGTTCTCCATCCATAGGGATCACCGGCTTGCGTACCACCGCATTCGGTCCACGATTTGTGAGCTCATGTTCCGCCTGTCGTCGAATTTCATCCAAAAAATCTAACTGCAGTCTTTTTGCTCGTTCTCGCCGTCGCACTAAATCCAATATACGTCGCACGCGCTCAAAGTCTACACGCAGTTGCTGCAGCTTACGGAATCCTTCCAAGTCGTTCTTACGATGCTTACGAAGTTTATAGCGCTCTTTTTCTCGCGGTCGAAAGACAGAGTGTGGGTTCGTGTCATTCAGTGGCGTCTGCGGCCAGAAACGGCGCAGCAGAGGACGACGTAACTTTTGACGCTTAGCTGCCCAGTACGCGTACACGTCACACGTGACGCGATTGAGCGGTGTTTTGTGCATATTCAGTCTCCTGGCAAACACTTCCTCAGCCTCAGCCAATGTCATCACATTGGGGTTAAGTAATGCCGATGCTTTCTCAAGGGCGTCCAGCATTTGCCCAAAGCGTTCCTGTGACACTTGATAGCGTGGATCTCCGTCTACACCGTATTTTGGATGACGACGGAGCCATCTCATGTCTTCTAAATCCAAATCCACTTCAACATCTGGTGACTCAGAATTTGACGTTTCAGATCCTGCAGCATTTTCATCTCGTGGAAGAGCTTGGAACCTCACATAAGACGTAGGTACGTCAAAGTCAGCAGAGACTGAAACGTCATAAGATGATACTGATAGTATCACAGGAATTGGGATATCCTTCTTTTTACGTTTTGATTGGCTTCCAGCCTTTTGACGAGCTTCCAGATTCTATAATTTTAGACCGATCAAAAAATAGACATGTCATAAAATATAAACTAAAATCCCGTTAAAACACGATTTGCTTACCGCTACGAGCTGCTGGAACATCACATGAGGCTGGGATGATCCAGCAGCGCCTTCTTCATCCGCGTTCAGATCTTTTTCCTCCCGTATGATAGCCATACGTGCATGCACATCGATCTGTCGTGGTCGCAGACTTGACCGCCTCATGCTTATTAGAATATTTTCATTAAAAATAGGGGTGATCTGGTTGATTCTAGATATATGGAACACTGTACCGGTTTGCTCAAAATCTAAAACTACAAATAATGTGACAAATAAGCTCGAATGCAGCTTTCATTATTATCACTTCTTGAGCACGTACAGCTGGTCTGCAGGAGTTTGATCCACTGTTGATATTCTGTCTCTGGACGTGTATCCCAATTGGTCATTTATTTGACCAAAGCTGCTAGCTCATGAAGAATGATTCGGACTTTGATCAGTGCAATCCATTTTGCAGCATGTTACAATAAGAAGCGTATCAACGAACGACACATATGTGCGTGCATGAAGTGTAGTATATGCATCAATGAAGCGATTAATAAGCACCTGAACGGAGTGATTACGTAGATGAATTCATCGGCAGGCAAGTAATTAGTAAACCAAAGAGCTCATTGCATTGCTGCTTTGATAATTCTCGAATAGATATTGCGATGAAGCTTCGAACTCGTTCATGTGGAACTATATTTTCCAAAAAATATTGTTGGGTTTTTAAATTAATAATTTAAATTTTTTTTGGAAATGGTTTTTTAGAGGGGGGGTGGTTGTAAGCTGAAAGGGAAGCGTGGTTTAGAAGGATTGGATGTTGCATGTTTGTTGACTGAGCACGGTCACTCCACACGCACGGCCACTCCACTGACGCACGGCCACTCCACTAAAGGTCAGCTTGACGAAAATACCAAGTTTACCGGAGCGCCAAAGTTACCCTTGCAAGCAGCCACACAAGAGAAGACAGACCATGAGTCAAAAGCGTCAAGTTACTATAACTCCACAATCAAAATTGCATCATGCCTTGCTGAGCAAACCTATTACGACTGGAACTTGCGTAACACGGACGAGTCCACTGTTTCCAGCAGTCGGTCGAAAGTGCTGGTACCCAGCTTGGCCGCAAGGTCATTTAATCTTCTACAGACAAACGCCTTCAAGTCTAACGCTAATAAAGGGACATCTTCTTCCCTCGGTTGTTGCTGCTGCATTTTGTGGTGAGCTTGGAAAGCGCGATAGACCCCAGACCGAGCGCCATTCTCGTCGCTATCTGCACTTTCAGCAGCCTGTCTCTGTTTTTGCTCCTCTTGTTCATCTTCTATTACCTCAACACAGATCTCCAGCACCTGGCCCGTTCTCTCTAGCAGCTGCTGCTCCATTGGCATGAGAGTCGAGCCTAATGCAAGTGCCCACACCTTCCGTCTCAATGGCGTCAAAGGAGACGAACCAACAGTGTAAAACAGTCTAAGCATTGCATCCACCAGCAACTGCAGCACAGTGTGATCATTTCCCAGTAAAGTCTTCAGCGTAAAGTCGAAGTCAATTATCATCAGCCTGGCCACGACGCTCAAGTATCCGGCAACAACAGTCTCCGGCTCATGTTTATGCTCTTTTTGCTGTAAAGTGATGCATGCTTCCACCATCGCCTTTACCACGGGCATTAATTCACCCACTTGATCCGCTGGAATAGTAGCGACTACGATCTCTGCCACTTGAACAATCTGCAGGGAAGCCTCTGGTTTAACGTGACCAATCAAGCTTCGTAAAAGCCCCGAAACACTTACGTGGTAACTCTGCCAGAATTGCATCTTGCCTAGTCGCAAGTACTGCTTCAATACATATAGCACTAACGACACATGCTCATAATCACGTTCCATAAGACGCAATACATTCCCAAAGAGTACGTGGAGCTCCTCAGTGTACACTGTCGATACTTCAAGAGTTTCGTTCCAGAGTTCGAGTCCACTTTCCATCAAAAATACTTCTTCAGGGTTTAATACATCAGTCGCAAATCGAACGACCTGTACGCACATGTTCAACAGTGTATGTACGCTACCATCCTCCACTTGCACATTCACAAGGGTTTTCTGTGCTTCCTTCACATTTTGAAGGAGTTTCGTCATAAGCTGGAGAAGCTTTCCGCGCACAAGGTTGCTAGCGTCACTTTCGTTTGTCCACAGCTCAGGTAGAGGCGCACTAATCTGATGACAGAAGCTATTAATGTGCACACCACACGCTTGAACTATTGCCTCCAGACACCCCAGCACTTTAATTTTGCTTTCAGATTCTTTTGCTTGCGGAAATAATGCAAATAAGCACTCTAACGCCCGCGGCAAGAATGGAGCAAACGCATCGTGCTCAAATCCCCAGTCATTTACCATAGACTCTAGTGTCTGAATAATACGCAGCTTAAGAGCAACGTCGGCATCCACCTGGAAAAAGAACGCCGACGAATTAAGCAACGCATCGTAAAGTGGCGGTCGGACACTTGATGTCAGCTGCGCTAGCCAACAACTGACGAGCCACACAATACGGAAGCGCAAAACGGGTTGTCCGTTGACCGACCCGACTGTAGCGTCAGGGTGTACGAGGATTGGCACAAGGTTGGTAAGAAACCAGGGTTCAAACTCGAAACAATTGTGAAGGTCATAGCAGCCCAGACCAATTGCTAAAAGCACGGCATCCGTGTCGAGAATTCGTCGATCGTCACTAGCATCAGATACCTGACCACGGCTGAGTTCCATGAGATATGTCGAGGCAGCCGAGATCATCTGCGTCAGTGCCGGAATCGTTTGATTTGGAAAGTTCTGCACCAGCGTCAAGAAAACATTTTCAGCACAGGTTCGCACCGACTCCTTTGCTGTCAAGCTCTCCATCAGAGTGCAATACGCCTCCGGATCACTCTGCCACTCTTCCAAGTCCGTAGCAGTCAGGTGCATGTAGCGCATCACCACGAGATTCATCATAGATGTAAAACGATCCTCGCTTTGTGTAAGAAATGCCTGTACTGCTGCTTGCGCTTCCAGTACCATTGTGTCTGTTAGTGCGACATCTCCTGCGGCTGTGATGACCTTTGACATAATTCGCGTCGTCCCATCAGGACCAGAGAGGCTTTCATTTTTATACAGTCGGCAGCTCAGTACGTTAGCAAAGAATTGGAGCGCATCAATCTGTGGCTGCCTGGGCGATGAAAGCGCAGTTGAGTAATTGTCGGCGAACGAATTGAGGACGTTCCAGAACAGCATAAGGTACGGTGGTAGGTATTCTCGAAACTCCATCGGGTACGAGTACTGCACACCAACGACTATTGCTGCGATGCGATGCAAGCACTTGTCAAGCATTCGAATCGACTTTTCTACCTCTGCACGAGTCTCAAATATGTCCACCTCAGACTTTACCAGCGCAACAAACGACTGTCTAAATTTCAACAGTCTCTCTAGCTGATTGTAAAACTCAACCAATGCGGAGCGCATTAGGTCGCCATTCTGCAGCGCTGCCAAGTCTTTAAACGCATTCAGCAGCATCGTCGAGATGAGTTTCGTTGTCGTTGTCAGGACCTCCAGTTGCTCTGCTCCTGTTGTTAATGCTGATATAATAGCTGCAGCTTTTTGTGCACTTGTCAACTCCGTCGCCTCTTTCTGTGCCTGCAAAAACTCATTAAACTGCGTAGCCGTAGCTGTCCAGTACTGTAGCAACAATGGCAGTAGCTCCACACTGAGCATTGCAAACTGTTTACGATGCAGCATGAGTCGTCTAGCTGCCAGTTCCTTCACGACGCGGTAACACACGTCCACTCCTCGTCTCTCGTTTGACAAGTTTACAACTCCATCCTGCCGTCTCAATGGCTGCAACATCATTGGAAATAACGTCTCAAATGTCCACTGAGCTGGAAACTCCGTCCGAGCAATAGTAGCGACTATAAGCGATAGATGAAGCGCTACTGTCTGCTGTGGCTCATAAAGGGCCGCAAACAGCAACAGACCACGTACATGGACGTGCTCTTCGTCCGAGAGCAGAGTGTTGGTCTTTTTTGACTTCCACTGTGTCTTAAGGTAGTGTTTTAGCCATAAAACAGCCAGCAGACGCACGTCCACGTCTTCGGAGGCAAGTTGCAGCTGGTTGCGTTGCGTCCCGTCAGTGTTGGGCATCGCCACACACATTTTCAGCAGCGCAATGAGAAACGGAGCAGTCAATTGACAGCGTTGTAGCTGTTGCAAGTCCTTTTCAGCTGCTGAGCGCTGTGGTTCTGAAGCACGCAGACTCTGGACAAGCAGCTCCCGCATCCGACTGACGTCATGTGCTGCCATCAGGAGTGAATGTAATTTTATAGTGTGCTTTTTTAGTTGAAGTGCAGGACATCACTTGGTAGTTTACAGTTTGACTACCAGGTAGTATCTGGGACGGGACAGTCTGCTGGCCACCCACTTTGGAGGACATACAAAATTCAAGTTAGTGACGGGGCGCTCTTTATCCCTTCCTCCTTCATATCCAAAATACAACAACGAGGAAGACTACGGAACCCATTTGTTTCCACGTACTTTTTCCCCTGCTTCTCACCACATTTACGCACTTTGTCGTAGAGTTTAGTAAAAAAACTCCACTTGATCAATCATGGCTGACGTAGAAGAGCGCAAACCGACGTAAGCTCCAAATCCCATCAAAAAAACGACAATATATCTATTTCTCTTTGGATAATAACAACATGTATGATATTCATTTATGCAGTGAAAACGTCGAAGAAGAGCAGGACGAGCAGGTTCATCTCAGTGAAGGAGACATTGAGACGAACTGGGATGAAGTGATTGAAACGTTTGATGGCATGGAACTGCGTGAGGATCTTCTTCGTGGTATCTACGCTTATGGGTTTGAAAAACCATCAGCTATTCAACAACGTGCTGTAAAGCCCATTTTACTCGGCCATGATTGCATTGCGCAGGCTCAATCTGGTACCGGTAAGACAGCTACATTTGCCGTGTCGATTTTGCAAAAAATCGACATTGGTCTCAAGGAAACGCAAGCACTGATCCTTGCGCCTACACGTGAGCTGGCTCAGCAGATTGTCAAGGTCGTGATTGCTATTGGTGACTATATGAGTGTCCAGGTGCACGCCTGTGTCGGTGGTACCGCCGTACGCGACGATATCCGTACTTTGCAGCAGGGTGTGCACATTGTGGTGGGCACTCCTGGCCGTGTAGGCGACATGATCAATCGTCGTGCTCTGCGCACGGATGAGGTCAAGATGTTTGTCTTGGATGAAGCCGATGAGATGCTGTCCCGCGGTTTTAAGGACCAGATCTACGAAGTCTTCCGGTTTTTGCCTGAGAAGGTGCAAGTTGCTCTATTTTCGGCTACGATGCCTATGGACGTGCTTGAGGTGACCCACCGCTTCATGCGCGAACCCATCCGCATCCTTGTGAAGCGCGATGAATTGACTCTTGAAGGTATCAAGCAATTCTTCATTGCCATTGACCGCGAGGAGTGGAAGTTCGACACGTTGTGCGATCTGTACGAAACGTTGACCATTACACAGGCCATCATTTACTGCAACACGCGCCGAAAAGTGGATTGGTTGACTGAGAAGATGCAGTCGAAGGACTTTACGGTGTCGGCCATGCACGGTGACATGGAACAGCGTGAGCGTGACATTATTATGCGTGAGTTCCGTTCGGGTTCTTCGCGTGTGTTGATTACCACGGACTTGCTTGCCCGTGGTATCGATGTGCAGCAGGTGTCGCTGGTCATAAATTACGACCTGCCCACGAACCGTGAAAACTACATCCATCGTATCGGTCGTTCGGGTCGTTTCGGTCGTAAGGGTGTGGCCATTAACTTTTTGACGCACAACGATGTGCGATACCTGCGCGATATTGAGCAATTTTACAACACGCAGATCGATGAGATGCCCATGAACGTTGCGGATCTTATTTAAGAGCCCCATTAGTGAGAATGTTCCCCATCCAGTAGCGTGGTGCATTGTATTGTCAAGGCGTCGTTGGTTGCGAAAAAGCTTTGAAGATGGACGGAGAAGATGTGGCGAGGCGACGAGATACGCGGACCAAATCAATGTAGAACCAAGTGGTAGGAACGATTGGGGAATAGAGGGTCGACGAGAGTGAAACGAAGAGGTGGCGAGAGAAGAACGGTGGCAGAACAGGTGAGTGAGCTCGGTAAAGAATAAGAGGAAGGGGGCTGTGTGTCTTCTTTGTTTGGTTCTTCTATTTGCTTCAACCTTGTTGAGTACGTACTTGGCTGACGTTGCATTGACTGGCTATGCGCGCCTTGTAAAGATGTTTAAAAAATCACATGACAAGCTGCCAACTTGTTAAAAGTGATACTGCCTTCATCCCGTCCAGGCACCCATTCAGTAGAATCAAATACTGCCATAACGATTAACTTGTCATAATTGATCGATACCAGGTATATCGTTTTAGACAAGTTCGTCTTCTAACTGGAATTTTCACCGTCGCACTTACCAGTGCTATAGTAAAGACCTCACAGACCAGTTCCTTCTTCTTCTTCCACATTTACTTTTCTCCTTACAAAGTCTCGTATTTGGTTGTAAAGCATGAGTGAGCCTGTGCCCAAGCAGCCTGATGAATGCACAAACTTATACAAAATACTTGGTGTAGAAACATCAGCAAGTGAGCTCGAGATCAAGACGGCATACCGTAAACTAGCACTGAAGTATCATCCCGATCGTAATGCTGGTTCAATTGAAGCTGCTGACAAGTTTAAACTCGCAAGTGCCGCTTATGCCGTACTTAGTGATCCTAATAAACGTCGTCAATATGACGTTGCAGGTGAAAATGGAAAAGATATGGAATTTGAAAGTGTAGATGTCGAATCAATGGGAGGCTTTGGACGTGTTGTGGGTGCTCTTTTTACTAAAATTGGTATGCCCATTCCTACCCAAATATCACAGTCGGTCTTATCAGCTGCTAGAGATCTTTGTGATGATCGAAACAATTCGACCCAATTGCCACATGTCACACAAATTGTTTTTGGAATGGAACGTCATGCTAAAGTGGACAAACAGGACGCTCATTTTTACAAATTACAAGTCGATAAAGATCGAGAATCAGTGGTCTTTATGTGTCGTTCAGCTACGAAAAGTAAGTTTAAATTGGTGCTTTTTGACCAACATGGAGCTGTACGAATGGTACAAGAGTCAGTCAAGAAAGCACGATGTACTGCTGCAGACATGTACTTGTCGAGTACGGTAGAGCTTATGGACTTGAATCCAGACATGTGGCCTAATGCCAATAGCGACTCGGAGTTACCCGAGATATTCAGCAAATTGTCGCTCTTTGAAGTGCGACGTACTGTGCCACTGGAAAAAGGTGAGCACTTGTTCTGTGTCTACGGAGACAATTGGCTGTCGGCAGTGAAATACTCGATCAAGTGCCTGAAGATTGATGAAGAGTCACCAGCACTGCGCAGCATCCAGCAGAGTGAGCATGAACTCGTGGGGATTAAGCATGATCTGGATGCTTTGCAAAAGGAGTACGCTGCTGCCAAGAAGGCCTTTGAGGAAGTCTGCTCACGTGTGGAAGCCAAGCAGACCCGCACAGAGGAGCTGCTGCATGAGCGCGAGCAGTCGTACGAGTCGTTCCTAGCCGGTTGTGACCCCAATCAGGCTGCTGGCGCATTTGAAGAAGCACGGGGCTCAAATACCTCGCAACACGGACAGAATGGGCCGCTAAACGAGGATGCCAGTCCTGCCGGCGGCATCCGCAATATCTTTGGCGGGTTCCAGAATCGTTTCTTTGCGGGGGGTAAGGAGCGTACGAGCTCTATGGACACTACTAGCAACGCGTCGTCGCACAGCCATTAATGGTGGGTGGAAGTAGTGAGAAATAGATGCAGTGCAACAAGCTGAGCGAAAATAAGCGAAAGATCACTGTCTTGAGCGTACCCAACTTAGGAAGACGAAACAGCATTGCACAAGAGAGACGTGAAGAATGATTGGCATATGTTAAAAGTTTCATGGTTACGTTTTACAGCTTTTGTTTTCTTTCCCTGCGACAACTTTACTTACCGTCAGCATTAGTTGCATGCACATGGTTTCGAACTCAAGGCTGGATAGAGCTACTGATCGTCTAGCAGGCGCTGACACTTGGGGTCGACAGGGTCATCAAGCTTCTTTGCCATGCAATAGGCATGTGCAATCCAGGGAACGAACGCCGCGGCAAATAAAAACTGGCCAGCAAAAAAGGCCATGCCAATCATGGGCAGCTCAACTGCCAGAGCATTATAAAATTGTGCCAGCTGTGTCATCCGACAATGAGTGGGCAGACTGCCCGACTGGGCTGCAGCGGCAGCGGCATTGGCTGCTTCCTCTAAAGTGCAAGAAATAACGCGTCCCGACTCATCAGCGAACACTTGGTGACCGAAGGTAGAATACTGCGGCGCCAGTGTAAGCAATGCGAAAAGCCCCAACATTGCAAGTTGCATCAACACGAGCGACAGCATAGTCATCGTAGCTGCAGACGTAAGTCGTGGCTGCAATCGTCCCAGTCGAAAACACAGGAACTGCAGACCATGGCGCTTGAGCACTATTAATGAGACCGTGAACAAGTAGACGAACAGTACTGCAAAAACCATATAGTCCAGCGGAAAGACGCGCGATGCTAGCACGAGCACTAGATCCATCGGGTTCGGAAACGCTGGCGCGTTTACAAGAAATCCCCGGTTAAAGTTGGAGTGTGCCATCTTGTCGATACTGGTGATGAGCATAGATATCACGATCAGTAGCGACAGTATCATCAGAATCACACCGATCGGAATCTTCCAACAGGACAGTTTCCCAGTCACCGCAAATTTCTGCAAGTTTAGACGCAGCACGTCCCGACGTTCTTCAAGAAGTTTTTCACGCGTCTTTAATTGCGACAATCGTTCTTGATCTGCGCCACTCATTTGCTGTTCGACAGCATATCGTTGCAGTATCGTTTCTCTTGTTTGCTTTGTTGTCTGTGTCTCCATCGCATTTTCCTGCAGCAATTCTTCAAACATCGTCATGTTCTCGTCAATACTATGGTCTTCCATGAGTAAACCCACCAATGGCACACTTGCAAGTCCTCGGCTACACACGACTAGCCAGAGGTACATTCCAGTAAGTGCAAAAATGCCCACCAATAGTCGTAGAAAAGTCTCAAGATCTGATGAAAACCTGAGCAATGGCCTCAACCAGTCAATATCCGAGCTAGCAGGTTTGCCACAGAGTAATATGACCATAACCATGACCAGAAGCAGCGATAATCCCAGTAGAAAACATGCCGTACGTTTAACAGCAGCATAAAGACGATCTTTAGCTGAGAATCTCATTGTCAAGTGTGCAACTTCAGTCTCTTTCGCGTAATGATAAGCCAGTGGTGCCCCAATAAGAGAATAGAGGACTAATGTCGTAAAATAAACTTGATACATCACTCGAAGGGCTCGTACATTGGCTGGTAGATGAGGTAGTGCATTCTCCAGTAAATAAACGTCAGTTGGAGCTGTAAATAAACATAGGAGAGACATATAAAGCGCCAGGATACAAACACCATTGACAAAGCGAGAGGAAACAGTAAGTGGTGCAGCGCTAAGAGTGGAAGTACCAGCGAAATCTGCAAGTAACGAGGATGTGCCATGCTTTGGTTGACCATAAAGTACGAATGCTGTGCTTAGACAGAGAAGAGCCAGTGCTACGCTGGCATAAAGAAGCCACACGAGAATCGCCGAGAAGTCCATGACGTCGAAGGAAGAAGAACGTTGTATGTGTTGATGTGGTGGACATCAATTTGGATGTATGCTATTGCATAGGTTTTATTGTGGTATTGTACGTACGGTTTGCTAATGCGTGACGGAAGCTTAAGTTACGAGAGGTTTTGTATGGAAGCAGAGCTGCTGCAGAGAAGATCACATGAACTAGCAAGTCGACAGGATGTAGAGAATGAAAAGCAGTGTGTTGCTACGTGGGAATGGAGACATGGCTATCGACAGGTATGTTTTTAATGATTTCGTGATAATGTTTTGCACTAAATTCATGTCTGATGTAACGTTGAAGCACTTGGATGGGAACTCGTTCCTCGTGTCAAGTGAAAATGCTCGGCAATATCATTCAAATGCTGTATATACGAGTATGAAGCATGACAAGGAGATGGATCGAGATACCAATGAACTGTTGCCGATTGAAGAGGTGAGGCAAATATATCGACTGCATTCTAGTGCATCCTTTCAACATGAAAAGAAGAGATAATGAACTCATTTGTCATTGTTTCAGTACGACTGGAAGAATGACGATCAAGTTTCAACGACGTTGCAGTCTCAAGAAGTCACGACTGCATTGCTTGAATTCCACATTGTCTACCACACCATTTACCAGACGCCGGTGCTGTACTTTCGGGTATCAGCAGTCGATGGATTACCATTGCCATCGGAAATTGTCACTCATGAAGTTAAATTTCCTGGATCTAATGGTCGGTCAACGTTTGTTGCCATGGAGGAGCACCCGATATTAGGCAAACCATTCTCATTTCTCCATCCGTGTGAAACTGCTGCTGCCATGCAATTATTGCAAGCTCAAATCCAGACTAATGATAGTACAAAGACTTTGTCGGAGGTCAAAGTACCTCGGTACCTTGCAAGTTGGCTCAGCTTGGTGCAACCTTTGACAGGTATATCACCATTCGAGTATTATTCTATATGATAGGATATCGGAATTTGCTGTACCCATTTTCTATAAGAGGCCAAAATGACCACCCGAGACAAGGACACAGCGACACGTTCCCGCAAAAAGTACGTAGCTTGGACTATGGATGGCGTCTGAATGATGTTACAATTTACTCGACAATTGTACTCATGTTGATTCTCTTTTTGTGCATACTCTTGTTTAGACAACGCGGTGGAGGCGCTTCATCAAGTACGTACACTCGAGGCAAATTCGCGTTCGGTTCGCGGCTTTCTATTGCTAGGGAGAGCTTATTAAAGAGGCCAAAGAAGAGCGAGAAAGCTAGAACTTATACGTCGGTGCAAAAGCGTCAGGAAAATGCTGTGAGGACATTGGCCTTATCTAGAAAACGGAGTAGGTCCTCGTCCCGAGACTCCGATGAAGGAACGTCTAAGACGAAATCGTCACATCGAACGCTGACAGTGAAGACGGTGTTGCCTCCGAGCAGTAATCTTCCAGCTCCAACAAAGGTGCCACATCTGTTGAAAAGTCCACGTGTGTCATTGTCGCATCAGAAACGGGAGGTCACAGATGAGCAAGAACTAGTTGCAGACTTGGGTAAGTTAATATCGTAAGAAGTGTGGTGCTGGAGCAACGTTGTTTATTAATATGTTGATTGTGTTGTGACTATGGAAGATGCTACTGAACCTGCGTTTTGGATCAAGCGTCGAAAGCTTGTAGAGGCAGCTATGAAGGAACTGGACTCTATTGGGTATGTGTATACTTATCTTGTTCAAGATACATGATATCCGCTTGCTTATTGTCTATCAATTGTCTGAATACACATAGGAAACAGATCATGGCGATTACAAGTGACAACTAACACATGAAGACGTCAGAAACACTGACATGTCGTACGAAGACACTATAGAAGTTGATGAAATGTTGGAATGCCATCAGAGCTGATGATCACATCTGTGTGCATGTTCACCTGTAGAATCTGATCAAGTCAAGATGACAGGTAATTTAATGTCACGTCCCATCAATCTTGAAACAATAGCGTCTACTAAAGTCATCACTATAAGATTTCACGTGAAAGTCGCAAAACCACATTCCATTCGTTACATTTCTTCACATCACAAGCTACTTCCTCACCTCCTATTTCTTCCTCATTATGGCTACAGCCTCACAGAATGCGCCATCATTGGCTGCATTGTGTGTGGCGCGTCTGGCTGTGGGTGCTCCACAGCGTGTACTACTTCATATATTACGGTTCGTTATCCACTGTTTTGTATTGAAATGTAATGACCAAATGCTGACCATTCAAAATGACTCGATTCCTTTATTCCATAGTCGCCTGCCTGAAGAATTAGTACTGACATTACTAGCCACGATGATCAAGTCCAAAACATTGACAGACGACCGCTTGGCTGCCTTTTTTATGATTTCACGGCGTGTACTGAACCTCTCGGGCTGTAGCTCCATCCGTAATTCAATTTTACGTCAGATCCCCTTTCGCTGCCCCGAACTGGTACATTGTCATGTCTTTTCGTGTCAATTTGCAGTATCAAGACACTTACTGATTCCATTTGATATTGCTGCCATTACAGCGCTGTTTGGATCTATCAAACTGCCCTCAAGTCACCAACACGGTCATTCGTGCGGTCTTACAGGGCTGCTCGAACTTGCAGACGATGCAACTGGATGGATGTCGCCACATTACAGATGCTGCATTCCAGCCAGATCACTCGCCATTCTATGCACTGCATGCATGCACGTCGCTGAAGGTTGTGAGCTTTGCACGTTGCTCACAGTTGACTAAGGATATTGTGGTATTCTTGATTAAAGCTTGCCGGTCGCTCATTGATATTGATTTTTCGCGCTGCAAAGTAGGTTTTGATCAGAGAAACGTTGTATATAGGAATATGGCTGACGTTGGTCGTGTTACTTTTTGTAGCGTATTCACGACGACGCCATCCACTTGCTGCTTCGGTCGACAACCGACTTGCAACGGATAAACTTGTCTTTTATGGACATATCGGACAAGGCTTTTACAACGGAACCGTCGGACCAAAGCAACGGCTTCTATGCCATGGGCCGTGTCTTGCGTGCCATTGATCTCACCCAGAGCAGCGTCACTGATGCGACACTGTTTGCACTGGCCAAACACTGCCCTCTTCTTGAGGAGGTGAAGCTTAGCTGCTGCAATGGGATTACGGACGTAGGTATTGAAGCGCTTGTGCGCTCCTGCAGACGCCTGCGTGTGTTAGACATGAACAATTGTGCACTGGTCACAGATCGCGGTGTGAGCATGCTCGGAACTTACGGCCAACAGCTGGAATGTCTGAATTTGTCGTGGTGCATGAACATTACTGATAAGAGCATTGTGGATGTTGCTCAAGGCTGCAAAAAGCTAAAGGAATTGCTGCTGGTTTGGTGCACACAGCTCACCGATGCCTCGATCGACGCGTTTCTTCCGAAAACCAGGTCGACTTTAAAAACGACAAGAAGAGTGAAAGACTTGAAGGTGAATATCAGTGGATGCAAGAGGATCAGTGTCTTTCACTTAGAGGAAGCTCGCAGGATGGGGCTTGACATTGTCACAGGTGTTTGACATGGCTGACAATTAATCATAGACGGATAATAATAAAATTAATTTATGCAATGAAATTATGAATAAAAACCAATAATTGTCAAGGCCGTATATAGCGAACTTAACCCGAACTTATCTCGATCCGTGTCCCACGTGGCCTCTTGCTCTTCATTCCATCATGTCTTGGCGGCGCTTTGACCTCAATTCTAAGGGCGTGGATGGCATCCAGGAGCGCACCATTGGCGGTGGCTTGGTGACGTTAGTGAGCTGCATGGTCGTAGCTTTTCTGTTGCTGTCTGAGCTCTCTGTTTGGTGGACTGTGAGCGTCACGCACCACATGCACGTAGACACCGCCCCTGTAAGTCCAATACTAGGTTATTTTTTGCAATTATGGTGACCATTATTGTTTAATATTACTAATTATTGTTATATAATACTTGCAAAGCAGCAAGACGATCCAATTACAGTCGAAGTGGATATTACATTTCTTCATGAAACCTGCAATGGTAATCAATTATTGCTAGAACAATTATGGAACATAAAATTAATTACACTTATTGTTTTTTTGCTCTAATATTTATTGCCAGACGTAGCACTGGACGTGAGTGATGCCAAGAGCAACAAGGACGTGCTGCTAAAACAAGATATCCAAGAACAACCAGTTGGAGAGAATGGGTGCAGACTTTACGGGACAGTGCAAGTGCAAAAGGTTGCAGCTGATTTGAGCTTTGCTCATGAAGGTTCGATCACGATGTTTTCGTTCTTTGACTTTCTCAATTTCAACTCGTCCCACGTGATCAATCACCTGCGGTTTGGGCCGCAGATTCCAGATATGGAAACACCATTGATTGACGTCAAAAAGATTGTGACGAATAACTGTGAGTGGAGAATGCTGCTGCTGCTGCTGTCTCTCTCACTTGTGGTGACTCATATTGATATGGTTGTGTTTTGGCTGTTTGTAGTGGTAGCGTACAAATATTTTGTGAGTGTTGTGCCTACACGCTACATCTATCTGAACGGTACATCAGTGACGACGTTCCAGTACTCAGTGACGGAACACGAGACGACCACTCGCGGAGCTAATGGCCAAATGTCGTTCCCGGGTGTGATATTTTCGTACGAGTTCTCGCCCATTGCAGTGGAATACGTTGAATCCAAGCCGTCACTGTTGTACTTCTTGACCAGTACAAGTGCCATCGTAGGTGGCGTTTTTGCTGTTGCGCGCATGATCGATGGCGCTATCTACAGCGTCTCCAGGAAAATCGATTAGTTGAGTCCATGACTGGCTATTGTTTGAGTTTTGCAGCGCAGGGAAACGATGCAGAAGGAGCCAAGGTGTCGACAATATTGAAGTACTACTACTTTTTCACCAAGATGAGTTTAACATTTCTTTCATGATAAAAGTCGCGGCTTACGGTATTGTACATGTGCTTCGACCCAGCTTTTGCTTCCTGTCTTGCACATAGTCTTAAATGTCGCGTTGTAACGTTTGCAAGGGCTTCGTTGCGCTCTTCCTGACAGCCTCTAATCGCCGTTGAAGCAGTTCTTCTCGCGTGAGTCGTGGTTTCTTTTGGTTGGCTCTACCATTCAACTCATCATCATCATCTCCATTGTCCACGAGGTCGTCATGAAGCAACGACAACAGTGCCATGGCCTGCTGGTCAGGCAGCTCATTTACTACTGCAGCTACGTCGGCTAGAATTTCCTGCGCGAGATTTTGCTTTTGCTCGCGCGTGTCGAACACGATGGCTGCATAGGCCAACGCAGTTTTTTCCACAACGCGAATGACAGAGTCCAACGACAGGAGACCCGCAACGTACAGGTGAAAACTTGCACCGATGTACGTGCGGAAGGAATAAATACCGCTCTGGTTACACTCTATCTCACGATATGAATGCCGACTAGGCGGTTTGTCTGTGGCGTGATTGCGAATAACGTCGTGGATGAGTACGGCCGATACAGCGTACAATTGAGGATTCTTGAGCAGCTCCTTGCCGAGATCAATATCACCCTGACCGTTGTCCCCTACGAAGACGAATCGGTGTTCAGCAAAGATTCGCTTAAACCGAACAAAATTCTGCATTGCAATCAGTTAGAAAGCTGCCTGAAGGAGCATGGACCCGAACTCAGTCCTTGTCACTCACCCGAAGCTTTCCTGATGCAATTCGTTGCGAGCCCCACATGTTTGAAAATCGACCCATCAATACTGCTCAGTTCACAAAAGCACATCAGTTCTCTTATATAAAAGTCCCGCAAAACGATGCATAGATACTTCGTACGAGTAAAATGCTGAAAGCCGCATGCACGAAGCTCTTGTAACGACCGCTTCCGTAATACTTCAGGTCTTGCAGTAAGGAACGCCACGCGCTGCATTTCCTTAGGTTTCGTTAACCGGTCAGTTGTACCAGCCTCAAGGTCTGTATCACTATCGCTGTCGTCATGCTCGTACCCGCTGTGTTGGTCAGCATAGTCTGCAGCGATCATAGCTGATCGCCGAAGTAATTCCTGAGCAAACTGATGGACACCCGGGTACACCGTAAGCTCTGGATAGCGTGTATCGAAGAGAGCAGCAAGCATCGTATCGTCGATATCACTGTACGAAAGACACAAAAACATCAGCTGGCCGAGCAAAGTATGCAAGACAAATACATTTACCACTTCCTGATCTCACCACAACAATTTGATCGGTGCAAAATACGTCGACGATGTTCGAAACCTCGCCGCTTCCGCTTCAAAATGTGTCAAAATAGTCTCACGCTCTATTCTTGACTGAATGCAATGATAAATCAAGTCAAACATAGGAAATTTGGTATCCACTTTGTCCTTTAGCTGCATGCACGCCATCTTCCGTTTGGCACAGAAACAGTCACGGATGCACGTGACCACATCTGGTTCTGCTGCAAACTTTTGCAAGGACAAAATGATCGTCGCCAGTGTTTCGACACTTAACATTGGCAATTGCAGTCTCGTACTGCAGAAATGAGCAAAATGTTGCGCCTTGACCTTGGAACTTAGTACACGATGTACATCAATTACTTTAATGAACGCTTCAGTCTCTCGTAACGTCTCACATGCCGCTAGTTCCGCGATTGTGTCGGTATACAGTGGTACTTTACCAGTATATCTCACTCCTGAAAAGTGTCAAAAATTTAGAGACTTGTCAAAAACAGTATTATATTATAGAGAGATTATACTAATTTTAACAGTGATTACCACGTACGAGCTTTACGGTCTATTGCCAGTAGCGCCTCGCGCTCTCTGTCTGATACAGAGATGTGTGGTCGTCGAGGTCCTTTAAAAGACGAACGCAATACACGTAAAGGATTGACACCATGACATAGTAACACTATACAGAACAAAAGAAGAAGCAGGAGTACAATCATAAACGGAAGCGCTACTTCGAGCTCCAGTGTTGGCTTCATATTGTAATGACTAAAAAGAGGTTTTTATTTTTGGTATTTTTGACAAGAAAAAAAGAGTCGAGCCTTATTTTCGGAACTTGATCCGAAAATAAGACGGCATTTTTGACCAAAACAACATGTGGAGCGTATCAACTCGTCCATGGAAGACATTAACAAGACGCAGTGTGGCTTCACGTCATCTACGAGCGTCAATATTAACTGCAACTTTTTCCAATTTTACCGACATGAAAGATGAGAAAGTGATGTTGCAAATGAACAAGTGGAAACAACAGGAACCCATTGAAAAAGCTAAATTTCTATCGATTCAAGTGGATCGGTCAGCGCTCAAACAACCAAGTGGTGTATTAACTAGTACTTCTTTATCTATGGAGTTACCACATGGAAAGAGCAAAGAGAATGCATTAGTGCATGTCTTACGCTCAATGATTGAAGTAAAGGGACCGCTTACAGTAGCGGAATTTATGACACGAGCATTGAGTCATCCGGATCATGGATATTACATGAAGAAAGATGTTTTTGGCAGCAAAGGAGACTTTACGACAGCACCAGAGATTAGTCAAATGTTTGGAGAGCTTGTTGCAGTGTGGTGTATAGCTACGTGGCAGCAAATGGGGATGCCTAGTCATATTAAGATCGTGGAAATGGGACCGGGAAGAGGGACACTTATGACTGACTTTTTACGTGCTGCCAAGTCATTTCCGTCGTTTTATAACGCTATTGAGATTCATATGGTAGATATTAGTCCAGGTATGTCTACTGTGGATTGGGAAGAGGATGGACATAGTGCTTACTGATTGTTTGTTTTGTTCTTTGGTTCTACAAGCGATGCAAAAGATCCAGCAAGAGACGCTGAAATGTAAGCCAATAGATGACACGAAAGTGCTTGAGAATACCATGCGTCTGCCTGATAATGGGCCGATGATTCGCTGGCATGCGGACTTTGCAAATGTCCCGCATGGCCCGAGTTTGATGATTGCCCAAGAACTATTTGACGCATTACCAGTACATCAGTTCGAGTACACTGACCGGTGCGTTTGACTCTTTCTTTTAAAGTCGTGATTGTGGCTTGTATTTATTGTGGTATGATATCGATCTCGAATGACATTGCAGTGGTTGGTGCGAGCGCCTTGTGGACGTCGACTTTGATGATGGCGGTGACCACTTCCGCTTTGTGTTGTCGCCAGGCCCAACACCAGCCACGCGAGTGTACATCGGCCGCGAGAAACTATTTGACCCGACGACTGCTCTATCGCATGTGGCTGAGACCCATATCTCTAGTGTGGAAGATCTTAAGAAGATGGAGGAGACTGTGATTCGGCGCCTGGACGTTGCAGATGTAGCGGGCACTCCTGTGCGTACGGCGCAGGCTCAGGTCGGAGACAAGATTGAGATTTCTCCTGTCAGTATCGCGTTGGTGCAGGACATGGCCAAGCGCATCGCGCAGTCGGGCGGTGGCGCGCTGATTGTGGACTACGGCTACGACCATCCATCAGAGCTCAGTCTGCGTGGCATCAAGAACCATGAGTTTGTGAGTGTGCTACGTGAGCCAGGTGACGTGGACCTGAGTATTGACGTGGATTTTGCCACGCTGCGACGGTTTGCGACAGCAGAACCTAAAGTCCAGAGCATTGGTCCCATTGGCCAGGGTACGTTCTTGAAGAACATGGGCATCGAGCACCGTCTGGCGATGTTGCTGCAAAACACAGAGTCAGACAAGATTCAGCGGGACCTGTTCTCCTCGTACGAGCGTCTAGTGGGGTCCGAACAAATGGGAATCATTTTTAAGGTCATGGCACTAACACACACAGATGTCGGTCATCCTGTAGGTTTTGAGGAGATATCAACTGATCGAGCTGAGTCGAAATAAAAAGGTACATGTCCACAGCTAGACAATTACGAAGTAGAAAGCATAAACAAGAGCGTTCGTTGCACCAAATGAAGTCGTAATTTATAGCGTTAGCAGCCTAAACTACTCGGCAACTCGACCGAAAAGTAGGCATCATCCATATCCAGCAACTTACTTACAGCTTAAGAGGTCCATGGTTCGGTTTGTACTTCTCGTGATTGCCATCAAGACCAAGCGAGCCATTAGCACGCATCTCAGCATACAATTCACGCTCGTACTTGGTAAATCCCCATTTCTTCGAACCCAACACTTTCTGACGACCAGGGAATTTAAACTTGGCACGACGAAGAGCTTCAACAACCGAAGGACCAAACGAATCCTTTGAACGTACCGAAATAATCGGCTGACCAATAGCCACACGGGCGGCTACACCAGCGGGTTTACCATATGCGTGACGCATACCCGTCTGAAGTCTATCAGCACCAGCACATGAAAGCATCTTGTTGATACGTAGGACCTGGAATGGATGGCATCGAATGCGCATATGGAAATTGTCCTTGCCACAATATTTAGTCAAGTAACGATTCGCAGCAATACGTGCAGCTTCAAGAGCTTCCGAGGAGAGCTGTTCCTTCTCGTCCGATACCAAGTGAGCTACGAATGGAAAAGTATCCACTGAAGCTTTCTTGTTACCAACATCATAGATACGAATCTTTGGGTCAGGCACACCACGACAGTAGCGCGATTTAATAAACGGCTTCTTGTTCTGGAAACGATAACACTTGGCAGGACGGCGACCCATGTTGACGACTTGGTAAATTGCAAAATGAATTGATGGTGGAGAAGGCGTCTTCATAGAATGAGAATTTATTCGCTATAGGATTGGCTAAAAAGAACAAAAAGAAATAGAAATAGAAATGATGACGTCATCCACGGCAGAAGACAAGACACGGGCTAAAAATAAGAATGGCCTCGAGCTCTGATTCTACCGACACTCTTTTTGGAACAAGATTTTGTGATTCATCTCGTAAAAAAATATTTAAACAAAAAGTATGGGCTGACCCAATTTGTATAAAGCCTCATTTAGACACGAATGGCCAAAATTTGCTGCTGAAGAAACAGTAGGTCTCATTAGAAGTGAGTTTTATTAAGAAAAAGCCTTGCAAACTTAGAAACCACTTAGGTGCATGTACGATGGCATTGAAAAATGCTACACTCTACATACACCTTGTCCTGGCGATGCTTATACAACGTCCTACGTCAAATGTCCGTTCAGTGTAGTCGAGATTACTGTTGTGGACGACCGTGAAGCCCATTAGAATGCTGTCTTTGTGCTTCTTGTGTCTTCTCTGTCTTTTGGCGTCTCTCGAACTTTATTTCCGACACTATGAGCTTTGGAGTCTAGCTTGGTAGCATCCGAGTCCGTGCCGACTCTTGTTGCTGCTTGCAAGCGAGAAGCACTGCTCACAGCTGATCGAGGACGCTTTGAGCCCAGCACAGAGCCACGTTTCTTTGAGCTTGAGTGCAGGTACATATCCTGCAAGCTTCGCAATGATTCCTCCGTGTCTGCCTGCTCTTCAGGCGTCACTTCGGCATGGAGCACATAAGTAGAGGAACCTAGTTTCTTGGGAATACGAATCTCGGCGATTGATTCACTGGAGAGTTTCTTGGAAATACGCATGGGGTTACAACACAATCGTGCCGACAAAAAGGCACGAAGTGTGGTGCCTTCGGCAATGTCCAGTACACCTTTGAAGAAACAGTCGATCAATGCCGCAGCATAGACCTCTTCACCATGAGACCATGGTCCGCTGCGCTGGAAGGAGCGTACAGGGCTTGCGTCAGGCGTACTGGCCACACTAGCTGCTCTTGTTCTGGATACAGTGGCTGTACTGGACTTGCGCTCACGCTTTTCGAGCGTCACTACTGGAAGGGAAGTTTTCTTGTGTGCTTTCTCATGAGCTAATCTTAACTCGGTTAGACGGCTTTCCACTTCAAACAACTCCTCGGAGAAGGCGTCTTTTTCCAAGCTAGGAGGTGAGAAAACCCCTGGTTTTTTGCGCATGTATATAATAGATCCGACGTTGACCGGAAACTTGAGTTCACCCATGTGTTGCGGCGCCAACTTGAGGGACAACTGCTTAGACGTGCAGCCTAGTTGTTGGCATAAATAACGTACGAGCTTTGTACCTTCAGGTAGATCTAGAACACCAGCCATAAAGAACTCGACCATCGTTGTAACAAACTCTTCTTCTTCGAGAGACTCAAAGCCTGTGCGGATGATAGTAGGCTTGCTTGTCTTACGTCCGATACGGGCCGACCTTCTCATTTGGTCATGATGGAGGGGGAACGCATGCTTTTCACCATCAGCTTCATCCGAGTAAAAGAGCTTGTCGAATGAACGGCTCTTGTCCTCATCGTGGCTGTGATAGCGGCCACCCTCAAGACCCAGACTAAAGTTGGCGTCTCGAAGTTTTTCAAGCACACGCTCAACTTTCAGGCGGTCCTCATCACTCGGTAGACGCTGGGCAGCTACAAACGCAAAGGCTCCCAATTTGCGCGGAATTCTTTGACCGGCCAACGATTCCGTAGCTAATTTCATCGAGATACGTCGACGACTGCAGCATAGTTCGTCCGCCAAGAATTTGCGAAGCGTCGTGCCTTCAGCCAGATCCAGTAGTCCTTGAAGGAAGTACGACACGAGTGCCGACGCATACTCTTCTTCAGCTCGAGACCACACCCCACTGCGTACTTGTTGTACCTTGTCACCTGAGCAAGTAGTTGACGATTCAGGACGTTGTTGCTTGATAACAGCATCTGCTTGAACCAGAAGGTCCAGCTTAGACATACTGTCGTCCCCCCACACTCTGCTAGACACGTGGTGCTGCTGAAGATCTCCTTTATTGTTTTCCTTTTCATCTTTACGACCAGCCGTCATGTGGGCCTCGTCGTCGAGACGAAGATTCGATAGCTTCACGTCGTCAGTTTCGTCCAATTTGTACTCGTGCGTCTGCTTAGCAAAGGAGCGCGCTTGCTTGACGCCACTAGCATCTCGCAAATTGCCCTGCAAAGGTGCGGATGACTCTGTAGCGGGTTGTTGGAAGTCATGGAGGATCGACACGGCACACTGAAGCTCGTCAAAGCTCCAGTTGTGGCCAGACTCGCGTCGAGCAGAAGCACGTGGACGACCGGTCTCCTCCTCCTCAATAGCGGGACTAAGAATCATAGAGAGATCCATATTATCTCTAGTGCTGTCTCTCGGCTCTTTTTTCTTTCTTTTCTTGGGCTTTGCTTGTGCTGCTGCGGGGGGAGGCTAGACAGAAACGTGTAAAACTCACCAACCACCCCCTCTCTATCAGGCGTTCACTATACGGGGAGTTGAGCTCCGCAAATTGTCTAGCTGGTGTTCGTGCGTGTGTAGCATCACGCTTTATGCTGGGGGTGCAACGTCATACAAACGCCAAGCTTAGCATACATATATCAAGATAAACACTTGCGAGAACGTCGACAAAAACGGTCCCACCAAACGATGACGCATTTGCTTTACAGCCATGCATTTCGAAGTACATGCATTCTTGACGATCGAACGTGTCCTTGACATTAATCCATGTATCTTCATGGTCAAGATATGATTTTTGTCGTCATCTACCGGAAAGCGCTGTCCTTTCGTGGACGTGTTTGAATTGTACATTAACGCAATGTTAGAGACCTTACAAAGGATGAAAGGCGCCATATTAAAATGGTTCAGTTACACCTTTACAGATACAATCAATCACCAATGCTGACCCCCCCCAAGCACGAATATAGTGAGACACATATGGCAAAAAGCATCTGCTTGCCAAATGAAACGACATTTTAATACGTGTAGACTGGCTGCTGGGTTCTATTTTGGTGGTACGATTGCTGTCATTATGAGACTTGCATTGGCAAAGAAACGGTGGATCCGCCGTTCATATTCGATTGGATCATTCTCAACACCGCTGACTCAAGTGTTGTTGAGGTATCGATCGCAAGCAGGTAATAGGATATTATGGCAATATGACAATGCTGAGCACCGCGCAGATTCTGATTAGGAGACATCTGCTCGGAATATTGTAGCTACTCAAAGCACGTACACACTAATAAGTACACACGTTATGAATGTATTCACAACCTTCTTATTTTGGTCGATTAGGTCCTCCTCGATCTTATATGACAGAAAAAGATGAAGACAAGCAGAATCGTAGTTGGTCGTCGGACGTTGCGAGTGTCTGGACGCAATTAGATATTGAGCGTAAATTTATACGACATGGTTACCGTATGAATCTCGTCGCGCAGTACATTGTTCCGCCATCGGCACGCAATTACTCCAATGATGGAACGAGTACGCCTAGCACGTCACGGGGAATAGACAGTGTGTGGTATATTCGTTGCGAGCAACTGTCAAGTCACCAGCAGTGATTGAAAGTAGCTTGTGAGAATTGATTAAGCTTCACGTACTGACATACCTTGCTAAGTGCGAATGTACTTGCGCACTAGAAAAATCGCATATACATTTATCTTTTCACGACACAGATGCCCGGCTGTTATAACATCGTACTATTTGTGCGTGTATCCTGAGCAGCACGTCAGGTCATCCGGCATCTGCATTATCATCGGCTGCGCCATACAGCTGCAAGCTACCGAGCGCTTGAAATATCTGTGTGCATGAGCGCAAACATGTGAGGCCAATTTCTGACACACCATGTCAGACGGTGTTGACATGTAGTCAATGAAAGCTTTCGCGTCTGCGGCATGCGTATTTGCTACGTTCTCATCGTCATTAAAGGGCAAATCGGGTATGCTCAATGAAAAGATACTGTCCAATAGTATTGGCGTCGGCTGTCTTGACAGCGTAGTTAAAAGTGCGATAACTTCACGACCACCATATTCAGTCTTCATAGCTAGTGACTTGACCATTGTTTTGCAACGAATAGACCACACAAGATCCTGGCCGGGTTGAGGTAACGCCCCCCAGAAGGCTTGAGCATGGCACCTGTTGACAAGATAAACATCCAAGGGATCCAAGCAAGAAACTTACCACTGGACACCGCCGTCAACTGGCCCCAGACCTGTATCTCCTTCGCCTGTGTGCACAGGATCGTGCAGCCTGGAAGGCCTTCAGCGCGGCGCTTATACGACGCATGTGGAAGTTGAGCCATTTTGGTGGCAAGACGGCTCGCGTAGCGCGTTTACATATATACATATTAATGTAAGTATTACTATAATACCATAAGGAGTTACAAAATAAAGTATGATAGCTCTACTAGACGGCAATATAACTATGATATCAGATAATAAGTAATTAATAGGCGAATGTAATCACATCTGATCAATTTTACAAACTACCAAGTGAATATATTCTTCAGCATACAAATGCTCGTCAATTCTGTGCGGGGTTTATATCTTGCAGATCTCGCTTTTCTTGTCCATTTTTTCTATTTTGCACTACAGCAACGCTAGCACTAAAACACAAATGCATGAACATATTTGTACGAGCATCTTCTGTAGTTCACAGCTCGGCATAGAAAGTTACGCACAACGAAATCTCCTTTTTGTGTAGTTTTCATCACTCTTTTCTCAAAGGAAAAATCCACCAGCACACACGACTACTAGTCTTCCTTCAGCTGATGTTTACTTGGGCTGGTGAACGCGGCCCATGCGCGTAGGCTTTTGTCGTCGGGTCTCGAACGAGCGCTTCTGCTGATAGCGCTTGCGAAAACTGTCCCTCTTTTTGAGAACTTGTGGCTGCTCCTCGTCGTCATTGGCCGCACGTTCGTGATATTCTTCATGATGCATGCGCTTCTGCTCCAGCATCTTCACGGCCTGATGCAGATGCACTGCGTTTTCCACGTCGTGTATGAGGTGGTTAATGCGCTCCATCTCCTCCAGATGGTGACGCTCCGTACTTGGCAGATTCCGTGAGCTCAGCGAGTCCGCGTGCTCAAACTCTTGCAGCAGCACGAAGCCGTTGTCACCTGGCTCGGCCGCCACGGGCACATTGTAGTGGAAGCGATTGTTTTGAGGGCTCCAACGCAGACGTGGGATCGAGTCCATATCGACGCTGTTGCTGTCGACTATTATGGACATTGTAGCCATACTGAAAAATAGAGAGAAAGTTGGTCAAGAGGGGAACCTTATTAGGTTTCTGCTAGTTGAAAAGTGAGGATGAGTTACTTGAAGCAGTGCAACCTCAACTTCAACATGCATTTCTTAATACATAAGAACGAGTCAAATTACCAAAAGTTTTTATTTCGAATTTTATGAGAAAATTGCTACTTCAACACCTTGCGTGCTTTCAAGTGGAGCTACATGATGAGTCCTAGCTGTTCTGCGCACTCGCATAAGACTGACTGACGCACTGATTTTCGATTTCTGTCGCTGAGAAGTTGCAGTCTGACACTGCTGTCAACAAGGCGATTGCTACTGGCGTCTCTAGACCAGCGTCAAAAGCGCTGCCGGGCAGAGGGCGGTCGTCGTCGTTGCTGCTTGTAGCAGCACTTCGCATCAGATACGAGCACTCGTCCACTTGCTGTGGCTGCAAAGCAGCTATTGTTGTTGCCTATTGCTTCGATTTGCATTTTGTTCGCCGTTTTGTCGCCTTCAGGTTCTACTTGGATTTGAGTCTTCGAGTTGACAAGCAACTGGAGGTGTAAACTTATCGCCTTCTATGATACAAAACTACTGTCCAGCGGTAGCTTTGCCACTACAGATGCTATCGTTTCTGGAAGAGCGTAGTGGAGCAATTTTCCATTCCACACAGAGGTATGGCATCAAAAGCTATTCACCTTTTCTGTAATAATAAATCTTTTCCAGCGAACCTTTTGAGGTCAACGCCAAGTAAGGCTGGAACAGGCTCAAAAGAGTGAAGTGGATGTGGTTTGACTCAACACTAGTGTGAATGCAGACGGAAGGACCGAAGTCGATGTGACTGTCGATTTACCGTTATGGTTTACAAGATTTGTAAATAGTCTGCAACCATTCTAGTACCCCGGGAGATGTTTCGTATCGGCTACGAGGGCTGTGAAGTTCCGACTGCCGGCGGACGATGATGTTTTAGAAGAATATTTCGTTGCTAGGCGAAGGTAGACGTCATTGCTCATATCCCTATCGCGCATAGCGACCGCTCGAAGTGGGCGAAGAAGGACTTGTTTTTGACTTCCACTACCTCTTACTCCGCGGACGCACTTTCCTGCTTATGCATATCCAGTTCCGCTTAATTCAGAGTATGGTCACGCAGACGGAGCATAGTCACGCAGACGAAGCAAAGTATCCACCAATTTTTTTGCCAGACCCGGCATCGTGGTGCCGAAGTCGTACCCCTTTTTAAGGAGCTGGGTCAGAAAGGACTTGCGTAACTTCAGGGATGGGTCTATTATCTATACCTAATCGCATTTGCTGCCACTCCGGTGGTATGGTAATGGCGTACAAGGCGTGTGAAAAGCGATGGAAGCATGCGACAAATGAGGACCTTACGCATGACTTGGCGCTGCTAGACCCTCGTAATCTAAGCAAGGAGCAACAGGCGAAAGTGCAGCAAATCGGGTCCTGGAAATGGGATTCGATGGACGAGGAACGACCCGTGCTGTCCTTTGACGGCTATGGCACACCGCTTCGTGGGTTCTGCATGATACCCAACGCTCTTGACGCCAAGACACAGCTTCAACTCGCTCGTGCCTGTCTGTACGTGGAGCACGGGATGCGCATAGGCCGCAAGTGCAAGCTGACATTTTCTTACGTGCAGGACCGAGTTTACAGAGGAGCCGCACGTAACTAACATGCACCTGCAGAACCAAGGAGTGGTCGACATCTGGCACAAGGCACGCGATTCACATCCGCAGGATCCGGCAGCGTCTCCCTTGCTCTCGAAGTTATGCTGGGCGGTTTCAGGCTACCACTACGATTGGACCGCGAGGAAGTATCACAAGGAAAGTTTCTCTCCCGTACCCGAATTGCTACAGCAGCTGGGTGCAAGAAGTGCCGCCGCGTGCGGTATGACGTTGACGGCTGAGGCTGTGATCGTTAACTACTACAAGACCAAGTCGTCCATGGGTGGACATCGGGACGATGTCGAGTACACGATGGATTACCCTGTGGTGTCAGTGTCGCTTGGCTGTCGATGTGTGTTCCTCATGGGCGGTCACAGGAAGGACGATCCTCCACTGGAGTTGCTGCTACAAAGCGGGGACATTGTCGTTATGGGCGGGGAATCGCGGACGTGCTACCACGGCGTGGCCCGCATACTGCCTACTCCATTCAACATTGCGAGCGAGGATTTTGATACGCTCTTCGACGATGAAGAAGATCGCAAGGAGTACGAGGCAGTCGAAATGTACCTGAACTCCCAGCGCATTAATATCAACGTGCGGCAAGTGTATCCAACCGATCTTTCCACAGATTTAGTAACTGGTAAATGAAAGTAGATCTTGGCCGATTAGGAAGATACCTGGCGTGCGGCATCGGCAAAAATTGAACCTCAACGCCTTTATCCCACAAGTCATCCATAATACTACATAGGACGGCACTAGCAGGCAAGATTGAAATGAGGCTAATTAACGTAATGTACGATGCTTCAGTAGACTTACGCAAAGCTCACAGTAATTTCATCGCCAAACTTTGATCCAATCTGTCCAAAGCGTACGGTAGGCGCCCTTTTGTGTCGCGCTGTTTTGACTGGTCTGCCGGTTAATTTGTCGGCACGCAGAGGACGTCGATGTCCACCGGTCTCGTCCTTACTTTCATTAGCCATTTCGCCTTACGTTGCACATCAACGTCATCTGATCTTATGGCCCAACCAGCTCTTTCCGTAGACGAAGCCACTCGGCTTGAACGACGACGCAAGCAGTGTCGCATGAGCCAACGGCGCTACCGCGACAAGAGAGGCTCAACCGAGTACAATCTCAAGTTAGACGTCAACAATCTGCGCGAGAGCGTGCAGTCACTCAAAGGTATGCGAAAGCTACTGGAGACGAAAATCTGGAGCTCCAAGGTGGCGCAGAACGCGGCCGTGCTCAAGGCCGTGGAGCAATACTATTCTGTGTTCGAACAGGGTCTGCACAACCCAGAGGCTGGCGGAGAAAACGTGCGCAAGTGTTTCCAGATGCAACTTGGCTTCCTTGACGCCTTCTTGGACCCGCACGTTCAGTTTGGAGACGCGCGTGGCATCACGGAAATACTGGAGCAATGGCACCGCTACACGCAGTTTCATGCATGGATCGAGGTCAGTTTCGTGTCTGCCGAGGTATTCGGCTCTATAGATTCTGTGGTCGTCGTGGCGCACGGTTCGCTCACGATACTGGTGAACCGTGTCACGCTTGAGAAGGTTTTCCCTCGTGCTTTAAACGAATCGAAGCTTGCATCTGCAATGCTGGACCATGTGGTCGATTACCGGACAACCACCACTTTTTCTTTCAATGAGCGTGCGCAGGTCGAGCGTCTTGACTGGGAAGTAGATTTCCTAAGCGGCCTCAGCAACCTCTTGGGGAGCGCCGTTGATGCATCACATGTGCTGCAAGGCGCGCTCCTCACAGAAGGCTCCAAGATGAGCGCCAGTGTCGAAGACGATACGTTGGACGGACGGCGGCGGCACAGCATGGTAGGGCGCGAGTTGGCGCGGGCAATACAGGACAAAACGCTGCGAGCAAGTCTGGACTACATCATCCCTGACTGCTCTGGTCTAACTTGCTCCGTAGAACTTAAATGACGGTACCAGTTCTGTGCTGGTACCGCAACTACGATCGTCTTGCTAACGTGCAAGTCTGCGCAAATTTGTTAAAGATTGCATTGGGCGTGAAGATGCGCTAGATGAGGGTGTCGATCCTGCACCGCATGCTTGTTGAACGCACCCTAAAAGTATAGATGATGTGAAAGCGTTTCACCACTTGCTGTCATCTGCTTTGGCAGCCAGTGCAGCGGCAATACGTGAAGATTGGACATCATAATGATGCGCAGACGGGTCTATTTACAGTGAGTCGTGGATGTTCTAATTGTGGCAGCAGCTCATCCATCTACCATGACGCAATCGTTCTCTTCCTCGCAGCTCGTTCAGCTGGCTTGGGACTTCGATCGCCACAGGGACACTCCCCGCTGGAGAGGTTTTTTTTTCGTGGTACCGGGGTTTGCGTTCAGCGACCTGGCCGGCGACTTGGTAGATCGTAAAGGGTAGAAATTGACCATGGGTGCAGAGAGACTCGACACTTTGTTGATGCCTCTCCTAACACCCTGGAAATGCTACGGACCGCTTTTCGTCCGAGTGGCGGACGCTGCGCTGCGGAGATCTTCATTCTGCCCGTTGTCGCACTTGGCTGCTGTTTGGGGAGTAAAGAATGGATACGTAGATGTAACCATACTGCATCGCACAACTAGGAGGGCGTCGTTGTAAAGAGAATAAAGTAGTGTAGTTCATACCGCAGCACTGTGAGAAAGTAACCCTGACCGACTAAAGAAATCCGAGATTGGCACAAAGCCGCATAAGGCGCAAAATAGCGCAAGTACTGCTGAGGCGGCGGCGATTATACCGGCGATTAAAGTTGACGTCGAGGTTCTGGCGCTCTACGTTGTGAGCGTTCATTTAGTGGGCGAACGTGGGAAGGCTGGGTATTCAATCTCGCAGCTTCGCGCAACTTCGAGGACGTCTATTAGCTCCCACACGAAGCAGTCGGAACCTTTCATCTGTCCTCTTGCTCGAAAATTCGTAAATGGTGAGTGATTACGACGAGCTGATCGAGACACGTGGCGATGCATGCGCGAGAATGACCGACGCGTTGTTGTTTGCACGGTATTCGCTGCATGGCACCGTGCGGATATCTTATGCAGGTGGTTATTCCCAAATTTTCGCGGTCGAGCTCAACCCATTCTAAGCCTCAGCCCCTCATCACTGGCACTCAAATGCAGCAAGAATCCTCCTCACGGGAGTCGAAGTGGGTGGGGTCATGTCTCGGGCATGTCTCGTGCGCGGTCACGGATCGTGCGGACAGCTGACCAGGGGAAGATACACCAGCTAATGATATTCCCTCGCGACTCGTCATCGCGTTATCGCTTCATCGCTTCAGCGATCACACAATCCAAGTCTGACGGGACGCACAAGCGGACAATTGGGTTCGTGCCTTCGTCAGCTCGAGCAATCACGAGGAGGGAGTATCGAAAATTTGCGCAAATGGTGCGTTGCTTTCTGCATGCATCAAGTTGCTAGAGCGCGACCCTAGAGAGCCATTAATTTCTTCGGTGATCAGCCACGTTATACCGCCGGGCCAACCAGCGCTGACATTCTGGCTCAGGTCTTCCCAGAGATCTTGTACAGAGTTAACACCATGTATATAGACGATCTGAACCTCTCTTTCAACTTATGCAGGTGGCGATCTACTGGTCAAAACCTAAAGGAATAAAATAAGGACCAAAGATCAAACAGTCGGAATAAATAACTAACAGGATGTCGGAGGAAGACGATGCTGCATCTCGAGCCGAGATCCCACCGATGCTGTCGCAATGTCAGCGAGATGCTTTGGTTTACACGCCACAATGTCGGCAGCAATGGGGCGAACGACGGATCGATGGTGTGACGTCATCACTAAAAGCGGAAGACATCGAGGAATTCCTTACGGAATTTGCGTGGCTCAAAGAGACGGAAGTGGTCCGTTGACTGCTACAGTCCGTTGCAATAAGGCCTCATTATAGCGTGATTAGCTGACGTCTGTTGCAACATGCGCAGGCACTGCAGTGTCTGTTTAATGGTGGGTTTGTCCTGCCCAAGGCCGTGCAGCTATTGCACACTGCTCGTCGCGAGCGATACAAAACACAGCGCGATCAAGACAAGCAACTTAATCCTAAAGCATTTAAACATGCAATCGAGACTCACGGCAAAAAGTTTCACCTCGTCAAGGTACGTCGTGGAGCTTTTGCTGCTACGAGTTTAGGGAAATGTCAAGTGCTGACACTTGTATACTGTTGTTGTAGCAAGCACTAGGGCAAGGAGTGACAACACGCGAGGTAGTGAGCAAGTATTACTTGTGGAAGCGGACGAAGGAGTTTAGAAACTGGCGACGACGTCAGACGGTAAAGAAATGCAAGAAGAAAAAGAAGAAGATCGAGCTGATGCGCTTGGGCAATGCGATGAGTGTCAATTCGGAATTAGAGGCCTTCCAAGTCTATCACAAGACACAGTGCGAACTTTGCGCTACTGGCGGCAAATTGCTGTGTTGTGACGGTTGTGCGCGTGCCTACCACTTCAGTTGTGTCCAACCGCCGATCACCAAAGAACCCAGGGAAGACGACGATTGGTTCTGTCCGTACTGTCAGAAAGCATTTGATGACGCGAAGCCCAAAATGATACCGAGCCAAGATAATGAGTACTGCCAGGTGTGTGTTCCGTTCACAGGCGTGCCGCGCACGCTGATCGAACCAATGACGGGTAGCAGCAGCCAAGAGGAAGAGAATAAACTGGATGGAAACTCGGACTGCAACAACGATGACGCTAACGCGGGTTTGGAATCGAGCGACGAAGCCAGCGGTCATGACGCGATATCGTCGGATCCTGGAAGCCTCACACACAATGAATCGGATACTAGAAGCGCCATAACTTTGTCATGCTTTCCTAAAACAGACTGGATCAAGAGTGGTAGACAAGAAGAGAAGCCCACGACAGTGTTGAAACCGTCCGTGCTAGAGCAACAGGTTGAAGCAGTTGTCCAATCAGATGGTGGTTCATCGCGAATAACGTCAACCAATTTTGTGGAACGTCCTGTTGAGGCAAATCCAGCAGAGATGAAGAGAGTTCTGGTGGAAAAGGGGGTGTCTGGCAGAAAACGTCACCGAAAAACGATGACACCTCGTCGAATCCCACCATCTCGATTCGACACTCGAAGCTAAGGAAGTCGTTTTTTCAGTTATTGTAACGGTTACTCTATGAGCTATACTTAAGTACGTACATGTCTGCACAGCAGGATCTGAACAGGTTTGAACAGGTTCTGAACTTGCAGGTGTAATGGATTCACATCTTTCTTCGCGGGCCAGAAACAGGCACGACAGTATTTTCTCCTTCATTTCTCACAAATCGAGCATGAGAAAAATCCCAGCCCCAAATTTTTATCATTTAAGAAATGTCGAAAGATGCCGATACTCGAGCCCAAGTGCCGGCGTTATTGTCCATTGAGCAACAACAGCAGAACAAATATCTTTACAAGCCCCAATACCGGCAACGATGGGGCTGGCAGAACAATGACCAAGGATCGAAACTCGCACCAAATGAAATTACAGCATTTGTACGAACGTATGCTTGGCCGAAAGAGACAGAGCTGGTACGTAGAGAAGCATTTGGTAGGAGAAATTAAAAACTAGATACAAACCTTTTCCCTTTAATAATAATTGTAGGCACTACAATGTCTTTTTGAAGCGAGTTATGATATAACACGAGCAGTGGAGACTATCCACGAAGCTCGTCGCCAAAAGTTGAAAATGAATCGAGAAGAGACGGAACGGATACCCACAACTATCTTTGAGAAAGCAATGGGCAGACATGGCAAAAACTTTCATCTCGTCAAGGTGGGCACTGTACAGAGATTGGTTAACCCGTAAAACCCATGGCTAACTTGTGTGCTGGATAAATAGCGGAGATTTAGTTGGAACGTGACAAGTCAAGAGTTGGTGAGCAAGTTTTACTCGTGGAAGATCACCCCAGAGTACAAGAAGTGGCACGACAGCCAGCGAGAGAAAAAGAGAAAAAGGGAAGCTAAACGACTGAAACTACTTCACCCTGGTGTGGACCAGCACCGGGAGTATTGCGAAGTCTGTTTGAAGGGTGGCAAGTTGTTGTGCTGCGATGGCTGTGAGCGGGCATGCCATCTCAACTGTGTACGACCAGCTCTGTTAGACGTTCCCGAAGGTGAGTGGTTCTGCTCGCACTGTCGAGAAGTAGTACCTTTACCCGCTGGCACCTATCCGGGGTCCGATGCCTCAAAGTCCACCTTCAAAGTGAAGACAGAGGCAAATGGTACCAGTTTTAAATGGGGCAGTGACATGCAGTTAGCCTGCTGCATTCGTAATGACGAGAAGAAGATTGATGAAAAATACCCCCTGACGATTGAGAAGTGCCTTGAGAAAAGTGCATTAACAGCATGCAGCAAACTTGAAGACCCACCCAATCGATTCATCACTGAAGATTTAAATGGTATCAGTGACATCACGACCGAGTCTGAGTCTGACGGTGGCGTAGCCAGAAATTGTCAGTCGCTTACTTCTAACTACGTGTTCACGGCACCCTTGAAGAAACGAAAGCAGAAGTGCTCAAAAATCGAAAGTGATATTGTCCGACTACGCTGCAAGTCAACGTTGCACTCTCTGGAAAATAGAAGTAGCCGAATTAAAGATGTCCGAGAAAAGGTTCTGCCTATAAGGAGGCAGAAGAACGCAAAAAATGAAGCGGTTGTTGGTCGATCTCGCTACTCAACGCCGTCACTCTTGCTTGAGTATAGCAGTAGCCAAGTCAAACGCGTTATTCGAGAAGTGAAGCCACTGCAGCTCAAGACTGCTTCCACCAATCGGAAACGGAAACTTCAATTTGATGCTTCATGCAACAGCCCACACTTTCCGGCCGTAAAGAAGCCACGTACACCGAATCATTATGCTTGCATTAAAGAAATTCGGACAACAAGGGCAGAAGTTTAAGTCCCACTTGCAGCAACAGGAATCGTTTCCAGTCGAGACACTTCCAATGAGAGATCGGTATAGCTGGCACCATGACGGGCAATGGTCACATCAATATTCCTAGAATATATATTGTGAAGGTAGATTAAGCGATGTGTCGGCCGAAGCTACATCAAATGATTGCAGGAACAAGTAGTGTACCCAAGAAGCATCCCCTAAAAACGGATTTTGTAACAAAGCAGAGTACTGCAAAAGAAATTGCACGAATAAGTAGACCAAACCACTTTATTATCTAGTACTGAGGCTCTCTTTGCAAATGACGCGAGTGAGAATCACTCAATGAATCCCAGCGTTACAAGGACACTGACACTAGCGATGATTGAAATCTCCCCACCAGATAGTGTGGTACTTCATAACCGAGTTTGTCCACCAAGGAACCAACCGAAACCAGGCATCTGATTGCCACCACCGAAGCCGCCATCGATGGTGCCCGTAGAATTTCCACCAAACCCGCCGGTGTTTGTAGGGAATCCGTTAGAAGTACGTGAGGCACCCATTCCAGCTCCGACTGCGTTGTTGTTATTTCCGAAGACTGCTGTAGATGGGACCCCGTGTAACAAGCTAATAGTTGCACGAGTTCGTTAAGTATCGAAAACTTAACGGACAGGCCTAAATGGGTACGTGGTACCTTAGAACTGCCACTGTATAAAGCCTTCCTCACCTTGTGTACCCGTCGGTAGGGCGGGTTGCTCTCTTCTCGGTGGACTTAAGTCGATGTTGATCTAATCGGGTTAGGGATAGGGGGTTTGGTGATTTTGTCACCAAACTCGGTCGATCTTGTGAAGATTTTCAAATCTTCACAAGATCGACCGAGTACTTGTTTGTTGATCGTACCAATAGATCCCAATAGTCCAATAAGGCAAAGTATGAATCTTCTGACCACCTGAGCAGAACCTTCTGACCACTTGATCCGTCCTGTACTTGCTTGCCTTGCCCTTACTTGTTATTTCTGCGTCCGACCGCGGTTGAGTTGTTGTGTTGAGAATTCCTTCCCCTGGCCAAAACAATCCAGGGTGCACTTGTAGTCGATGTTCTCGGCGTCGAGAGGCCAAATATCCTGCCCGGAATAGAGAAGTCGGCACGTGTACTTAGAAGCAAATTGAACTCTGTTTAATGTTAAACAATCAAATACCAAAACCTACGATTCTGCCTATCTGTAGTCCAGGATCGATTGCCACGTATCACCCTATCGAAAAAATCAGATCTTGTCATGTGGTCCACTCCAATATCGCCGTGATCTGGATCGCTACCTCGATCGGATCTAATACCATTTTAGTATCGGATCGCGGTACCTATTTTTAGTATCGGATCGCAATACTAATAATTAGTATCGGATCACGGTACTAGTAATTAGTATCGGATCGCGGTCCGCCGGATCACGACTTGTCCTCTTCACCGTTCCTCGGATCATGTGAAATGATCGATCTGTATAATATGTAATGTACACCTCATTTCAGCCTTCCGTAGTGACGTGATATACACCAGACCGTCTTCCACATACTTGGACTTACCAATCCTCACGCGGATCGCCATCGAAAAATTACCAGGGATAGCAGTTGCGTAGTTCTAAGCCGTAGTTAATTCAACATAGAACTGCGAGCACCACCATTCACTGTTGTCCATTCCATTTTGCAAAGTGTCGACATCTTCTTCTGCTGAATCACTATTCATCAATATTAACCATTTCGGACTTAAACGAAAATATGCGATCGCACTTTGCAAAATTCACTCTTTTGCTTCGCCACAAAAAAAACGATGCCGCCGAAATGTGATAAGATTGTGGGTCGCCTGCAAAGGCACCCATGTAGACCAACAAAAAGCGCACGCGCCGCGATGACTCGCAGCCGTCACTAAATGTTTCTGTGACAACGCCGACATCTGATGTCAGCTTGTCAGCAAAGAACACTAATCCATCCCACTATGGTGCGGATGAAGACTTGTCTCTCATTTTTGACTACAATGAGAGTACACCGTTGCCATCACCCCAAAGTGGTGATGAGCACAGTGCTCTGATGGGACATTTTTCCCCATCATTTGAGGCGCCCAACGTTCAGGAAGCTTCCATGCTTCCTGACAGCGAGGGTCATGCCTTGTCGTCTGCGCTAACGAGCGCAGCGACCCCAATTGAGCGCGCTGCTTCGAAAGAAACAGCCGTGACTCAAAAGCAGGTCGACGATTCTAAATCGTCCGCCTCTGTCAACCTTACGTCTGATGCCTTGACAATCCATAATGGAGAGTCAGACTCAGGCGAGGGTGAGCAAAAAGCTCCTTCGACTTTACAGTCGGCCTCACTAGCAGGCCGTCACGAGGGCGGCTACGTGAGGGGTGTATTGCCAGCGATTACATCGCCATCCTAGTGGCCATTATGGCGTGTAAATAGTGCGACGCTTTAAAGCGTGCCACTATTGGCGCTCATAAATTTTATAGCGTCTTTCCATCGTGGAAAAGGCAGGGCAAAGCACGAGGTCATGCTTCCCCTATTCCCGTCGTGTTGCGTTCGAATGAAACAACCGACAAATACGAAGCAGAGTTCCTGCGACGTGATACAACTTACATTAATAACATAATTATAATGGAAAAGTAGCTTAGTTAATTAGAGTAATAGCTTGTCACATTATAACACCGCATGTAGATGCAGTGAAACAGCGGTCGCAGCGACTCAGCTTCGCTATGACGCGTGCGAGGGAAATATTGGGCGGTAACATACCCCCAGATCCTTCTCGTCACGCCGACCCTACTAGTCCATCAGGACTTAGCAGAGCGAGTGCAGCTGGTGCTTCTGCTTGTAAGCAGCCACCAGCCCAGGCACGTCGATACGCAACGCGTCGATCGGTACCCAAGAGTCGAAACTCTTCGGTTAGCCTTTCCATTGGACCAGGATTTGGAGCTTTCGCTTTATAAACCGGTGGGCCAACAGCCTTCCAACAAGGAAGCGCGTATTCCCATCCGTATCGACCAACACAGGTGGCGCCCGATAGGAGTGGCTATTACGACCACCTACTCGCGGCTGCCTACCCTGCTGCTGTTCAGTCGCAGGCTGAATCCGCTGCACTGAAGAAGCAGGTGGCAGATCTCGAGAGTCAAGTCTCGCGACTGACTTCGGATCTACGCGATGTGAGGACGAGGGATCGTCAGGGGTATGACCGCCTGAAGACCCGTTTGGACATCTTAGAGCGCAGACCCGCGTCAAGCGCGGAGTCCTCCTCGATCACCGAGTCCTCTATCGCCTCGTTCACACACGGGGAGCCTCTCGGCTTCCTCGTCGCCTGATCGGTCGCGACGCTCAACTCACAGTCGACGTCACCATCGGTATCGTTAGACCGATGTGGATATGTGATCTCTTCTGGATCAACATACCGTTTCAGGCGACCCACGTAAAATACGGGGTGCGTCTTCATATACGGTGGGAGAGTGAGCCTATAATTTAGGTCTCCAACTTCATCAACCACTGTAAAGGGCCCAATAAACCGGAGCAATAGCTTAGTAGTACCACCAGGTAGTACAGAAATTGCATGTTTAGGTAGGGTAGCAGTGCTTAATAGCACTTTGTCCCCCACACTAAAGTGTTCATTGTTTTTGCGACCATGCTGGTCTGCATATTGTTTTTGCATTGTCCTGTGCGCTTGCCATCGCGTCACGGACTTTACATGTGATGGCTAATCGATCATCCACAATGCGCTGAGCTTCGCTCACGCTTTTAGCATCCATCTCGCCTATGACACCCCCAAGAGGTCGGTCATGGGTCAAAGCTGTTGATAACACTATAGTGTCATCGTCAAGGAGCCCTGGCATTTCTTGCCGTGCCTCCTCATGTGACACCTATAGTACGTGACCACTGCTAAATTAGCAGTGTCACTAGGGCAACTTTGAGCCCTTTTTGGCATTCGCACCGAGCGAAGTGAAGGGCCTCCCCCACTAAGACTCGGGCTGCGCACTAAACGAGATGGCGTCCGAGGATGGCGCAGTCCGTTAATGTAAAACGGTGTTTCACCCGTACTGGCGTGGACACTGGTATTAATAGCGAACTCCACGAATGGCAATTGCTTGCTCCATTCTTTGGGAGTCGCTACTGTACGCAACACATCCGCCACAACTCGATTGGCACGTTCGGTTTGGCCATCAGTTTGGGGATGATCAGCGGTTGACATGTGGAGCTTGCTTCCTAGCAACTCAAACACATGACGCAAAAAACCCGACGTAAAACGCGGATCCCGGTCCAATACTACGGACTCGGGCATTCCGTGCAGTCGATACACGTGATCCAGAAACAAGAAGGCAGCCTCTTTTCCTGAGATCTTGCTACTACATGGTGCCAAGTGCACCATCTTGCTCAGTCTGTCTACAAAGACGACGAGCCCCGTCCTGCCTTTATGGTCAGGCGGTAAGCCAAACATGACGTCCAAACTGACCGACTTCCAACATTCAGTTGGAATCGGCAGTGGCTTCAGTGGCGCACTGCTAGAAGGTGCAGGCTTAATGCGCTGACACTCTTCGCAAGAGCTAATATAATTAGCCACCCACCGATATTGGTGGCGCCACCAAAATTCCTCTGACACTCGTAAGAATGTCTTTTCACGGCCCAGATGCCCACTAGATGGCGCATCATGGCACTCGTGAAGTATCATCAGCTTGAGATCTGTGTCATGAGGGACATCGATTCTCAAGGGATCACATGGTGACAGTTGATGCCATAACAGGCCATCACAGTAGCTAAAGAGATTTAGTTTCGTTTTCAGGTGCGACGGAAGGGTAACCTTTCTTCCACCAAAATGATCCAACAGCAGGCGACAATGGTCGTCCTGACTGTAACACTCCTTGACATCGGAGGCCATTGAGCTCGTCACATGGTAGGCCTTCATGGATGCCAATGTTGACGACTCAACTTGTGCTTTCGCACGAGACACACTTTCCTGGTGTCTTGCCTCGAAGTCTGGTCTGCGCGATAACGCGTCAGCCAAGAC